TGTACGATTACCCGTACTATTTGAGGTATTACTTTAACGTATGTAACATTGCAAAATAAATCATCTTATTAAACTTACTTAATTCGGAATACACGTATCGCAGCAATAGCAGTCACCATCTCTTGAAATCAAAATTTGTCCAGTAGACTTGTCCTACTGGTTTACGCAAAATACAATTTGACACAAATTTTGCTTTTTATGCGATATAGAATCATTAATGTATAATGCAAAAATAAGCAGAGTACAAAATATGATTTTCTTCCACATCTTCCTTACTGAATTTGGTTACTGCAATGCGTTGTGATCTGATACTGATTATTTATAAACAGATCGTCAAGGTCATACTGATAAGTTTTTAAAAAACCTGCCTGATTTTGATTACAATTGTTTCTTGCAATTGCCGACACTTATTAATATTAATTAGTTAATGCTTGTGGAATTTACTGAATTATTTTTTTACGTCCAAATTTTGAGAATATTTTTTTGAAAAATATACATCATACATTACATTTTCAATCATGTATTTTTATTATATGCATTTATCAATCATATTTAACTTAATAATATCATATATCATAGCTATTATTAAATTATTTATTGCATAAATTAAAAATTGTTTCTGCATTTCAATAACATCATCATGGAAATTAAACAATCTGTTAACTTGTTTATCAAATGTAATTTCATTACACTTATTCTCTTCTTCAACCATCTCACATTTCAGCAATTATATGCTTATCCAACTATTTGGAGTACATTTTATTCTCCTTGGCGATGCTCTCTCTCTCCCCTATGCACTCTTCCAATTTCGTGGAGCAAGCAATATATGTGAGCACCTGCTTCCTATATTTTTTGACATACATCTCTTTAATCTCATTCATAACGCTATCTTTATCCACAATCTGCATCTCAGCCATATTCAATTTTGCCTACAAATCCGTATTAACCTTAACTTTCTTCTGCAGCTCTTTCCTAGTCTTGTTGATGAATTTGAAATCTTTCACACACGTTTAACATGTTGCAAGTGGGATAGTTGTACTTGTTTCAAACACAAATCCATCTTTATTTCATTTCATAACGCTATCTTTATCCACAATCTGCATCTCAGCCATATTCAATTGTGCCTACAAATCCGTATTAACCTTAACTTTCTTCTGCAGCTCTTTCCTAGTCTTGTTGATGAATTTGAAATCTTTCACACACGTTTAACATGTTGCAAGTGGGATAGTTGTACTTGTTTCAAACACAAATCCATCTTTATTTCATTTCATTCCTCTTTTAATTTACACAAGGCTGCACTTCATTCTGATTTGTTTCATTTGCATCATATATTTCAATACTCTCCTTTATCTTAACAATGCTATCCGTTTTTGTGTCTATAGCTTCTTTAGAAACTTTAATATTATTTCAATGCATTGCCTTCTTACCCTTCGGTTTTGCCAAATGTAAAAGTTTGAATTATGTTAATGATATTAACTCATTTACATCAATACTCATTTGATAAAGAAGCTACAAACAATAGGTCAGAATCTGATGCCAAACATACTTTCAATCATTTTGTACGCACTTTTATTATAATGTATCGGAGGAAGTCCAATAATACTGCAAGCCCTAGATGATCCGCGTCCCAAGGACCGCTTCACAGGTAGCACACGGACGGTGTGCCACGGCACACTGGTGTGGCGTGTGCCGATGCAGGTGTGCCACGGTCAAATAAGACAATATTCTAACTAAATGATTTTTCAAGTCCAAAAAAAACCGATAATAAAATTTACACACTGTTGCATAGATCCAAAAGCATTGATGGTCAAGAATTTTCCAGTGTAACTTTTGAACACGATGAATGAATGCATTCAAAACATAAACATAATTAAATAGAGAGCCCTAAATTCGCGAATATTTGGTATACTCTTTGCAAAAATGGGAGCCGAATATGAATTCCTATTATTTTGTACTGGAGTTCGTTGGCTGTCCCGATGCAATGTTTTGTCTAGGTTATTTAAGCTTTGCTACGAGGTGCGTGAGTTTCTTTTAGATCAAAATATGTCCAAACTGTACCAACATCTCGATGATGATTACTGGATAGCTTGCATATATGGCTGATATATTTGAGCATCAAAATGAACTTAAGAAAGAATATCCTCGCATTTCCTTACATTTTTCATCCTTACATTTTCGACCACATATTCATGTGAGCAAAGTTTTTCAAATCTTGTTTTAATTAAGCCATCATGTTTAAAAGGTCTTGACCAAGAACTTCGGGTTGCGCTGTCAAATATTGAACCAAATATAAAACTTTTATGTTCATCGAAACATGCGCATTAAATAGGCATTATTTTATGTTTTTTATGTATGTTGTTTTATGTTTTTTATGTATGTATACTTATAAAATAAAAAATAAAAATTTATTTTGAAATTTGTGTATTAATTTAATATCTATCATATATTTTAACTTGAGGTGTGCCGCGGAATTCTAGGAACAACTTTGGTGTGCCGTTGATGAGATTAGGTTGTGGAGCACTGGTGTATAGATCCTCATACGACAAGTATGGGAGCAGCTCTCCGTAAGGTCTAAGAAGTCATAGCCTTGAATAGAAACAAGAAGAGAAGAGATACATTTTATATAATGAAATAAAACAATCAAACAAAATTTGATTTACTTTTTTATTAACTGCAAATTTCTTTATCTTGTATATCTGAAAAAAATAATACAATATAACATGTTAATTTTGAATTAATAATATATTAAAAATATTTTTATATTCAAACATTAATTAAATACACAAATATTTACTACAATGAACGAAAAAATATAATACATGGACACGATTATTACGACTCTTTTAATTAAAGTGATACGTATGAAATAAATTCGCTTTACAATTCGGAAAACCTTCGAAAGGAAATCTACATAAATTATATAATTTTCCATCTCTGCTTATGATCAATGTTTATATGTTTGTAAATGTTCTAAAATAAATTTAATAAATTTAATTAAATTTAACTTACTTAATTTGGAACGCATGTATCGCAGCAATAGCAGTCACCATCTCTGGGAATAAGAATGTGTCCAGGTAGACAATTGCTCTGGTTGACACAGAATACATGTTGACAAATATCACCGCAATTTGTCTTTTTCGTCTGTGCAGAATCATTGGTGGATATCAACAGAAGAAGCAGAGTGCAGAATATATTTGCCTTATACATTTTGATGGTACTACAGCGCAGACTGTTGTGTAACCTCCGTTGCTGATCCTTTATAAAGAGTAGATCGCCAAGGTTACCATAATGATCTCGTCATTCTGTCTGCATAAAAAACATATTTGTTGCAAGTTTTATTCTATTTATTGGATATACAATGCAATATCACCTATTGACTCGACAACTGTTATACTGTATGTACGTTTTACATATTTTATTTTGTTCCAATTATTGGATACAAAATATAATATCACCTATTGACTCAACAATAGTGAAATGTTGTAAACGTTCCAACAAAAAATCGTAAAATTATATACCCTTCAATTTTGTACGAAATGGATAGTATTTCTCTGCATAAAGGAAAATACTTATGAGTATTCGAATTTCTATTAAACTGTATAATAATCAATAAATAATTAATAAAATTTCTTAAAGATATTCAGTTTGTATGTAAATGTATGTATTTAAATTAGAAAACTGGATATTTTGTGGATTCAATTTGTGGATTTGGAAATCATTGAAAATTATTATTGGGAAAGACATGGAAAAAATAAAATATCATGTCGAAATGATGATATACTCAATACATTATTAAAATACACATAATATAAATTAACAAAATTTAAAGGTATATACCGCATATAAGTATAAAAGTCTCTACTAGAATTAGGCAACCCAACAAACTCTCCTACGATACCAGATATAGTAAATGTAAAATTGAAGCATATTAAAGCACTTAAGCGGATACTGATGAAACTTTGCAGTGCACAAACCAAGTAAGGAGAGTGGAGACGCGAAAGGATAAGAAGAAGAAAGCTATTAGCTATTAACAAAAAGATCTAAAGTTAGAATGTCATCTGGAACTAAAATTCATGAAAGTAAGATAAAAATGAAACTGATAACTTACTTTCTAACACTACAAAATACATATAAAAAAATACTTACTGTCATTACTATCCATTGAAAATATTTTGTAGTTGTAACTATAATTTTCCTTATTTGCCTTAAGTTGAGTTAATTTTTTTAATGTTTTGTTAATTGTAATTATTTAATAATAATTTCATTATTTTAACCATAAATTTAGTAAAAGGTTTTAGTCATCCTTTTATGTAGTATCCATATAGTATTACATGTTACTTAACGATGAATTGTTATAAACTAAACAAAATAGTGATGGAATATACAGTTGAACCTCGCTTAACGAGTTTAATCCGTTCCAAAATTTCCGGAAACGTACTCAAAAATACACATATGTGTAAAAAAGTTTTAAAAATGATGTAACAGGCGCACAATCCCGGACTTCTCTTCTCATCGTCACTCGTTATGCGAAACGTCGCTCGTTAAGCGAGTCATTTTTCTTAGAATTCATTTTGCTCGTTATGCAAGGTGCTCGTTAAGCGAGGTTCCACTTAATATATAAATTGAGGTAAAAATAATGGGTAAATAAATTGTATTATATAACAATGGTATTTATTGAACAATAAAGCGATATAATAATTATAAAATATTATGAAATGAAGATGTCGCTCCGGTATATAAATGGACCTGGCGAATATCCATACACACAGAAACGACACCCAATAACCATTATTTCAACAGAAAAATAATATATATATATATAAACAAAAATAAAATGTTAAATAAATTTAAATATAATTTTTAAAAAAATAATTAAAAACTAAAAGCGTATTAGTTGTAATAGAAATAAAGAAAATGGTCCCACGTAAAGCCATTCATACAAAAATAATAATAATATTTCAAAAATCCATTGCTCCTCCTGTAAAACAACAATAAAAAAATATTGCCTCATCGGCGTTAACACAATCATGACTAATTTCTGACGTATAAAAGGAAATCGGCATTAAATCTAATTCAATACTTTTTTTGTAGCTTAGTATGATCAAAGCATCATTATATTATGCAGTCGAAGGTAATGCGGTGGGTAAGTATTGTTTTGATGTAGTGGACGAGGATAAGAACATAACTGGCGATTTATATCCCATTCCTCGTGGATTTCTTGTTACGACGTTGTCTTATAGTCGGAAAGGTTGCTTAGTCGTGTCTTTCTTCGTTTTTTCGTGTCTTTCGGCGGCGGTTTGGGTACCTGGAGGAACCGGAGTAGTGGATCCTGAAGGCGTTCGCGTTCTAAAAATACAATTTACAATTAGTCATCAGAAGCGAAAATAAAGGCAAGTAATCTTCTGCTGAAGCGATGCAATTTCACTAAAAAAAACATTATTCTAATTTCCTTTTAATATTATATATTTTTTATTATTATAGAAGCTACTTTCAGCTGCTTGTTAGTTACCTCGTGGATGTTCTCAAATTTGGAGCGCTAGGGACGGTCGTTCTCGTTTTGGTGCTAAGCCTATAGCAAAATCAAGCACATGCTCATTATTATTTAGTTATTACACTAAACCTGCAAATCTTAATACACTAATACTCAATAGAAAGCTTTATCTTCTCTTTACATTATGTTTGCAAACACTACTCTACTACGCTAATTTTCAAAAAATTGCTGTTAATTGATTTACCCCACTGGAATAGGTATTCTCGATAAGTTCACTGAAGATTTCGCGCTGCGTCAGGGAAGAAAAGAACAAGGTTACACTGTTAGTATTAAATCAATAAGATAAAGACATGCAACTAAGATCAAATTTCAAACATAACGCATGCATTTGGTTGATTTACCCGGGTGTTAACGATATCGAACTAGCACTAGCTGTAGAAGACATCAATTGTAAGTCGCATTCTCCCTTATATACTGGTATTTTAGACCTAACAAAGTTAATAACTATATTAAAATTTGATTGTAAATTATAAATTATTTAAAAATCTGGTGTTTCCATACTCAGATATTGAAAACTAGGATTAATAAAAACAAGGCTAAATCAATCTACTTTGTTAGAGTTTTACAAAAAAAAATAAAAGGTAATAATAGTCTACAAAAATAATCTTGTACTATAAACACACACACACACAAAATAAAACTATTTCCATGCACTTTATTCATTTACCCCGTGGTTAAAGGTATCGAGCAAAGACTAGTAGTTATGGAAGTTGGCGACTCCAAGTCACAATCTCCCTTGTAAACTGGTATACGAGACCTAACAACATCAAAATTAGTATTTTCTATTCTTTAACTTATTATTTTTGTCTATATTTGTGAAGCTAACTAATTTAAATTGTGAAATAATAGTAAACAAAAAGTATATTAAAGTTTCTTCAACATTCATTACATCAATCAAAATTGTTATCAAAGTTTAAATAATTCATCAACTGCATTATAGTTGATGAAATAATTTTAGAAAACATTCAAAAAAAAAACAAAAATCTGCGTCTACAAAGCTGTATTAAATTTAAACTATTTGCATGAATAAAATAAAAAAAGCTTTGGAAGATAAACCCATTCAATTAATTAATTTACCCGGAATTTAAAGAGATTGAGCAAGTACTAGCAGTGGAAGTCGGTAATCCTGAGTCACAATCTCTCTTATATACTGGAATTAGTGACCTGACAACATCGAAGTTAATTAAAGTTTGGAATAGTAGCATTCTCCATGTATTATTTGCACAAAGCTTTGAGTCGATATAAAAAACCGCATTCAACTGAACAATCGTTAATTAAGCATTATAGTAAACTATAAGTAATAAGAAATATGTACAATAAGTTTTCAATTAACGTATTCAAAGACTACACGAATTACCGACCTATAATCGATGAATTTACATAAGAATGCATGTATTTACACGACGTTCAGACGAACGGACATCTACCGCTAATATTAATTTCCATCATATATTAATTATTTTATACAAAAATGAGTTGAAATAAAGATAATTAGTATGTACGTTAAATGAATACGTATTCTTCCTAAAGTTCTGTGTTTTATAATTATTCAACGAAAGTTACAATTCAAATCTTATTTCAATGCCAAATTTAACAATAAACTAGTTTTTAACCCGAATATGTTTCAATAAAAGAAAATATATCGAAATAACGAAAATAACATATTATTAGCAAAGTATATTAGTATTGTAATGAAAATTAAATTGTTTTATATATAAAATTGTGAACTTCAGTAAACCCAAATATCAAACTTCATGCACTTTGAACATTTACCCGGATATTAAATTGGAGCAAGAAGTGGAAGAGGTAATGGGCGATTCTATGTCGCAATCTCCTTTATAAACTGGTATTCGAGTCCTAACGTAATACAATATAATTGAAAATAGGAAGTAGAGTTTTTTTTTCTAATTTTGATTCGATTAGAACTAAATTGAAATGTTCAAATATATTTATTTACCTAGACGTTGTTCCAGATGTTAGCGATGAAATACTCGAAGCTCTTGGAATGGTCGATGATCTGGTGATTTATCCGAATGTAAATTGCTAGTAAAGAATTGATATTGTTTGATCTTACCGTCCGCTTGGTGGAAGAGGTGAGGTGATACCAGAAGGCGTTCTCGGTCTACTAAGCGAAGATATATTTGAGGAAACATTCAACCTGCGGCTGGTTGTTGACGCAGTGGTTGCTGTGCGTCCGGAAATTGGAGTTCTTTTGGGAATACGCGATGGAGTATCGTCTAAATGAAAATTTAAATTTATCATTATAATGTTGCAGTTTGATAAGTTTTTGGTGTAGTTTTTACCTGTACTGTTGATAGATAAGGTCGAGCCATGTCTGGATGATGAAATGCTCCCAGGTCTGCTGCAGGTTCTGGAGGCAGGCCTGGAGTTCGAAGTGGAACCTGGCGTGAGGGAAGTTCTGTAGGTCCTCTTCGGAGTGCGATCTGCATCGGACACGGAATCCGAAGTGGCTACGGATAACGAAGATCTGGATGACCTGAGCGTACTTCCTGACATCGGCATCGACTTGATGGTACGTTCTCTTGTTGTCTAATGAAATAACAAGACATGATAAAGGGATGCTCTCATTTTATTCATAAGCAGTTTCTACACGTTACAACAACAATTACAAATCAAAGTCAAACTTAATGAATATTAGAATACCTTACCAAGAGTTCGATGATCTGCGACTGGATTACTACTAAAACTTAATGCTAAGATAGTGTTGACCTAGTGTTAGGTAAATACTTAATTGAATGTGATGAGACACAAAATGTGCATAATTTCGCTGATGGAGATAACAGAACTATAATTCGCTGTTGATTGCAATACATACCGGTGGTGTAGGAATGAAACAGTTCTAACTTGAGATTCGACATGCGAAAGACATCAAATTTAAACACTTATACGATTTCGGAAAGAGTTTCAGAAAATTGTTGTAAAACCAAACAAAACAAAATAAAAAGAACGACACATAATCAACTAAGGAAAACATGTTTATCTTCAGTTCAGGACATTACCCAATTAGGTTGTGAGATGACACCCATGCGTAGGTTGGAGTGCCTCGGACCCATGTGCATGGGATAGGCGTTTCCCACTTCGCCGCGTGCCCTCAGCCTCTCGAAAATGGGCATCAGCTCCGCCAAATGTTCTTCCGCTGCATACATACACACACATCCCCAAAAATTGTAATTAAAGATTACGCAACACGAGTCACATTCTATCGTTTTCAACGCGACAATTTGGACAACAAATGTTTGCTTCTTTTCATTACCGTTCTGATACTACCCTAATACATGCATAAATACACATATATTCGCGACAATCAGCCAATAATATTCGTGGCAAATCATTTAAAAACCAATCGGATTTTGAACACCCTCAAGTAATTTGGACACCCTAATGTTCAATAAAACAACGCTGTTTTAGTGTTATTGAGGAAATTAAAGGACTACTCTTGATCAAATAGAGTTAAAGCTATTTATCGCGTCCGTATTAGTAGTACTTACCAATAAATTGGTACCATAAACATATCATTTTGCTAACTAGTATTTACATTTTAACAGGCCTTGCCAATCCTTTTAAAAAGAAACAATACTCAGCAAACGCAATATACAAGCCAAAGGTAACTGAAAAAAAGACCGCATGCAAAAAACAATAGTTTTACTTACTACAAACAAACCCAATAATCGAAGCTTCCAATAAAAAAAAGAATCGCTAAGAGGCTGAGGCTTATTACACAAAATCAAAGTGAATTACGACTAACTAAAATTGATTTCATAGCTCAAGTGAACATGTACAATTCGAAACTATCGAGCGCACGTTTACTTGATATATGAACTTGAGCATTAAAACTGAAGAAATACCTTAACGGTGGTCCCTGCGGTCGGTGTGCGTAAAGAGCTGGTTGTCGCGCTGGTTGCATAGATCTTAGGTCTGAACGCGGTCATAGATTGGGAAACACCGTCAGCCAGGACGAATTGTTCACGAAGCTCATAGTTGGTGCGGCCCTTAGCTGTATCATGTGTGCGTAAAGGGATGTAATTTAGGATCGAGGAGAAACGACAACAAAAAAAAAATGAGGAAAAAAACAAAAATATCATTAGAAAAGGATTATCATAAAAAAAAGAGATGTTTCTGGATTGAATTTAAAGATTTTCTTTCAGGAAAAATAATATATATCAATAAGCATGTCCAACCACCATTTGGTTTGGTATAAAAAAAAATATGTAAAAAATATTTATAATCAAACAATAAGCTATAAAATACAACGTTTCAAATATACAACTTAAGAAAACATGGATTTTTTTCGGTATCCTTAACCAGCGTTTCTCAACCTATGGGTCGCGTTATTTCTTCTACTGTTTCGTTATATAACGGCTGTCACCTTACGTCAAAGTATAAAAAATGTATATTGAAAATAATTGATTCGCAGTACTGCTACAAATAAATGTGTTGGATATCGCCGCAATAAGGTTGACAAACGCTGGTCTAGGCTCCATCGATGGAAGTAATGTGCAAAAGTAACGAAAATATATCGTACCTTGTATATTTGAAACATGATACTACTTGAATATGATTATAAAATTAAATAAGTTGCAATGGATATACGTATTTTGTATTGGATAGAAACAAAACGACTAAGCGTAAAATATTTACGTAATAACAACAAAACACATAATAACTAAAATTACCCAATTTACTGGATCTGTTGCGAACAACGTGATTTCACCAACACAAAAAGTAAAATACATGCACTAATAGAATACAAAATTAAACAGCATCGTGTTTTTCGGACTATAAGACGTATCATGAGATTTTTTTAGAAATAAAATATTTTATTCTATAATTCTAATTGCATTTTACGTAAACAGATGCGTTGTAGGGTCTGAAAAATACGATAATAACAGCAACAACGGAACCAAAAAAAATGTTTCTATACACCATGCAAGCTTACCATGTGGGCACCAAGGCTCGTGCTGTTCGGGTTTGTCTGGGTGAGGTAGGGGCATTACTAATATAACTTGAGGGTTTTAATAATGAGAGAAAAAAGGGGTAGAAAACAAACAGAGGGCCCAAAAATAAGTGAGATGGATGTATTAGTGAATGAATGGGCGAATTAAATTTCCAAAAAAGAGGAAGAAACAAAAGAAATATATTAGTACAAATGCGTTGATTACTTTGGATTCGGGAACTTGCGTTATTATATAAAAGCTCGATTATGTTTTTTTTATTGCAATGTGCATATTTGGTTGATTCAGGTCAGATTAGTACGAATTTTATTAGGTTCTTTTTGTTGTTGTTTTTCTTTTTTAATCTGTTGATCCGACACCTTATGCCACGTTGATGTAAGCTATTCGATTCGCGTATTATTTTTTTGTTTAATATTCTGATTGGGTTGTGCAAAATCAATAATATTTTTCGTTCAGAAAAAAAAAGTTGAAGTCCAATTTGTTTAAGAATATAACTGTAAAGTTAAAATGTGATTAAAAACGTACCTCGGCAAGGATCATTTTTCAGTAGGAATTCATCTAAGGCAATCCAACCACCTCCAACTCTCACCATAACTGTGCTCCTAAGGATGCGGACAAGCCGCAGCTTTTGACTTTCACCAAACTGCAAATCGAAAATAATTTAAATCACATCTACAGCATTGAATAACATTGTCGTACTCTGTATTTTCCATCGCCGACTTGCAAGACTCTGAACTTCTGCCTACAGGTGCAAAGCATCACGAGTCTCTTCACCTCATCATGTATCTTGTCGGCATCGGTGGCAGGTTTCTTGTCCTCCCAATCCGGCCTCAAAGCGGCAATAAACTTCTTCCAATCGATTATACCGTAACTGTTTTTATCAAACATATCTGCAACTTCCTTCATTTCCAGTCGACTTGTACTAAATTCTGAAACATTTTCAACATCGAATCCCAAGATCTTACTAAGTAAAACTAATTTTAACGTACTCGTATTCGTGATTCCGTCTATGAAGTCCTGTCGCGCTATGAGACGTTCATTGTTCTTATCAATCTTCCTAAACAAGTCCGTGAGTCTGGACTTCTTGTGGTTCATGAACTTCAGGAACTGAAAATATATAAGTGTTACATTTCTGCAGCAAACGATAATATAGTATGAGCTTACCCTCTTCCTCCAGTCGTCCCACGAGAAATTATCGGCACGTTCTTTCTCCTTGAGATAAGCTAAATGTGTATTCAATTCCCGTTGCCTTTCCCATGAGAGCATCCATACGTGTCTCCATTTATCCCAAAGTAATTTAACTCGAGGATTCTTGAATTCCAACTCAGCACTAAATACAAAGCAAAGTTCATTAATATAATATTTAACCATTATTCTTAGTGATAATATTTATTAATTCTTAGGATAAATCTAACATTTTATAAATATTGGAGAATAAATTTAATTAAATAATGTGCATTTTATTATATTTTAATATTTAATTAAGTACTGAAGTCATTACTGTTTAATTCGTATTAAAAATGCAAGTGAAAATGAATTATTTGCAATTAAAAGTTATGAATATTAAAATAAATAGTGTATTCGTAATCTGTAAATAAAATAAAATGTGTCTCCAAAACCTACACAAATAAAGCTGAATTTTGCGCAAAAGCAAAAAGTAAGAACAACATTTACAAATAACTTGCACTACGAATACATAAACATGAAAAAAATCTTTAAAAAAAATAAATAAAAAAAACATTTTTTTTTGGGAATGTTCTATCTAACCTGTCTGCATCAAATCGTGGCCCGTAATGAGGCAATTGCGAATCTTGACCGAGTTCTCTGCCTGGACTGGTACGGCTGTAGAAAATAGCAAAACACATGCAGCAAACAAAAATCGTAAAACACAAAACCTGACAACCGTTCAAAGCATTACAATGCAAACAATAATAATGAATTTCTAACGGATTGTAATATTTTGATTGTTATCAAATAATCTATCATATAAACTATATCAAGAAAAAAGAAATATTGTTCTTTGTATTAGGTTTAGTGGCAAAATGAATTAAACAATATTAATTATCATTAGGTTTTTAAATTGTTTTAAAAACAATATTAATTGGAAAGTAAATTGTTTTAGTAGAAAAGTTAGAATTTAAAGAATAGTAAATTATTAGTAGAATGTTAGAAGTTGTATTCTGGCTAACCTTTTCCGCGCTGGATAGTATTTCAGCAAATAAGATTTGGAGCTAAAAGTCACAACAACAAGATAAGCAAAGTACATTAAAACAACGCCAAACTTAAATATAATGTCAATACTACAAACAATGATGGAAATGAGGCAGTAATACGATGACGTACCTGGGTTGTTTGCGAGTAAGAATGATAGAATCAGATGAAGATGTATGAATGTCGTGCTGAGATCCACGACTATAAAATGAAATTTGCAAGCAAAGAGATGAGTTAAGAGACATTAACATGTAACATGAAGAATAATTTGATATGTTCACTTACGATGGAGTTTTGCTTTTAACGAAGTCCTTGGAATCTTTGGTTCTGGCTTTGCAGACCCTGTTCACTTCGGTACTTCTCTTATCGATTTTCTCCATAAACTCCTTGTGTTCCGAAATCAGTTTCTCGATGATTGGAATATCCTCTGGCAGTTGTACTTGTTTTAACTCCAACAAGGTAGTTTCGAACACCAACAACCAATTGATCAACTCCTCGACAGAAGCATCCATGTCCTTAAGCGCCTGAAGTTGCAAGTACAATTTGTCTTGACGCTCTTTCGTCCACTGAGTAACTTCTTCCCAACGGGATTGGATGATGGTTATCCACTGGTTAATGACCATAATAGCGTCTGGATGGGCCTTGTTTAAAACATGTTGAGCATGTTCTATGATCGAGTCTTTCTCGATTCCCTTCTCGGTCAATTCAAATCGGAATTTCTCTAGAAGCTGAAGCTGCCCTTCGACGGCGACCTCATCGTCAGCAGCCGTTACTAAATAGTAATAGTAATACGATTAAAAAAAAATCAAAATTAAATTAGTATTCTACTTACCGACAAACCTCAGTCTCATTTCCACATTTGATAACCATTCAAGCAGCATATGAACTTCTTTGTTCAATTCTTCCGCCTCCTTTAGAGCATCCTGCAAGTTCATCGACTTATCATTGCTTAATTTAGATACGTTGTCCCATAAAGTTTTGAGCTCGAGTAGTTGGTATTTAATATCATCGGTCTTGGTTTTCTGTTCCAACTCTTCTCCGGTTTTCATGACCGAATTCATTTGTAGATTGCGAGCTTTCAGATCTTGTTCAAAACGACGATGTCTATCGATTAAATGGGTTACAGTATCCAAATCACCGTAAACGGGTTTATCTTCGGCGAAATCTTTTTCTACCAAACGAAGCCACTGCATCAAAGCAACGATTGCGTCTTTAAACTGTCCGCTATAAAGTAAAGCCTCTTCCAGTTTTCGCTGTCTTTCGATACTTCTATTGCAGACCTCGGTCCATTTATTCTTCAAGTTCGTTGACATCTGTTTCAAAGTGGCCTCATCGGTCTTCGGCGCTTTGTCTTTGAGGGCTTTGCCAAGTTTCATCGTGGTATCGTAAGTACTTTGTTTGGAAGATAAAGTGCGCTGAAACTCTTGATGTTTCACTAAATACGATTTAATAGTCTCGGGATTATTTCCAATGGAATCTTCGAGTCCTACGAGATCGGTATGCGTTTTGTCCAGCCAATTCATCAAGCCAGACCAAGCATCGTTGAATTCCTTGGCCTCCTTGAAGCCCAGGTCCAAAGATCGTGTACGCTCAGCAGCTTTGGACGTTACGCGTTCCCATCTATGTTGAACGCTGATTAACAAATTCTTGATTAGAATCACGTCCTGCTTTTGGCTGAAATATTTCAAATGGGTTCCCTTCTTATCAAGATTCAATATGATTTCTCTATGAGCCGTAACGTCCTTTTGGAACTGCTTTTGTTCTTCGATTTGTTCATGAATAGTATCAAGCACACGCGAAGCAGGTTGTAGGTTGGAAATATGCTTTTCAGCAGCAGTCAGCCAATCGATGAATGCCTGAAGAGCGTCATGGAATTCCCTAGCTTCTTTCAGCGAAATTTCCAATTTGATCTTCTTGTCGCTCGCACGAGATATTACAGAATCCCAGCGTTGTTTCAATGTGCGCAAATAGTTCTGCAGGTAATATGCCGTATTAGAACGCTTAAGATAATCTTGACCTTGTGCTAAAACAGCTTCCACTTTGGGTTTGTTTAATTCGATCTCGTTGTACACTTCCATGAATCTTTCCAGTTGATCGGATGCAGTCTCCGGTAAACCACCTACTGGTTTACTTGCGGCGATGCTTCCATCGATATCAATCAACCATCCAATCAAATCTTGTACCTCTGAATTGAATCTTTGCGCTTCGGACAAGGAATCTTCAAGTTCTCTCTGCCTGTTTGATGTCTTTTGCAGTAAATCGTACCATACGGAATTCAAAGTATTCAATTTGTCCTGAGTTACAGAAGCCTCGTCTTCACCACTCTCAATAATCCTTCTACCGGCATCGTTCAAAGTGTCTACGCTAGATTGATGCGCTTGTATATCGTTGATTAACACTTTGAGTTTGGCCAATTCCACTTCCAAAATTTGGGATTCACCAGCAACCGGTTTTAGGTTATCTAGTGTAGCGTCGGTCTTGCTAATCCATATTAATATTTCATTAAGAGCATGCTGGAACTGTCCTAAAGTTAACAAAGCGTTTTCCAGTTGTCGTTGACGATCCAATAGTTTTCCAAGCAGATCATCCCATCTTCTTATTACAGCCATCAGAGGTTCCGTAATTCCTGTTGCTTGTTCCGCAGAAGTATTCTCTGTCAATTCTATTGCTTGCCTAAAATTTTTTGTGCTTGATAATACAAAAATAATAATATTTAATTACGTACCTATTAATAGCTTCCACCTTGACCATGTGAGGATCAATATCAGACTTGAATAGCTTAAGTTGCTCTATTTGCTTCTTCACGGACTCAATGTCCATTCCCAGAGGACCCATGCTGCTGAACTTGATTTCGGCATTTTCCAGAACTTCCAGAAGATTCTAAAAATATCACAATTAATATCATTCAAAACGCTCAGAGTAAAATAATGCTAACGTGTAAGGTGTCATGGAATATCATGGACTTTTCCATAGCATCTATTAGATTTTCTTCCCTCTTAGCGAACAAGGCAGTAATGTTGTCCCAAACGTGGTCCAGATCATCAATGTGCTTCTTAACTTCGGGTTTGTCTTGTTCTCCACAAAGTTGAATTAACTTGTGTCCCGAATCTCTGACTTGATTCACTTGAGGTTTGGTTTGATTGATTTCTTGTCTGATCACTTGCAACGTTTCCTGTTGCTTTTGCAGAAGATCGGGTTCAACTGCTGGTGGTTCTTGCAAGGTTAATGTATTTTTCAGAGTTTTCAATTTATCCATAACGGAATGCAATTCGCTCCAGAATTCTTCAGCCGTCGACAAAGCATTGAGTAAATACTCTTGACGATTATCGGTGTTCTTTCTGATGTTATCCCATAGATTGTTGAGATTGTCGAGCTTATGTTTAATATCCTTGATGGCAGGATCTGCTCTGTTGGATGCTTTATTGATAACATCGTCGGCGGCCCGTTTAACGGCTGCATACGCTTCTTTGCGTTTTTCCAAATCGTTAACAATTATATCATTGTCTTCAATTTGATCATAGATTTTAGCTGGATGAGCAGAGATTGGCTCCTGATTGATGCACTGTTCAGCAGTATTCGTCAAACCTCTTAGAATACCCTCTAGTTTATCAGTAAACTGAGCATTCTCGTGCAAAACTTCCTCCAAAGCCAATTGCCTTTGACGAACATCCAATTTCAAGGCAGCGTATCTTTCATTATGTCTATTCATCAACTCGGTGATTTTGTTACCGTCTTCATCATTGCATAAACGCACCAATGATTCTCCAGTCTTATTTAATTTATCCACCAACGGTTTATGATCGTTAATAGATTGTAGGAATTTGCTATTTTTATCTTGGAGCTGAGCAATAAGATCTGGCCGTAGAGCGGCTGAAGAAAGCATCGTCATCTGTTCTTCTATATCGATTAACCAAGTCGATAGAACTTCGTAAGTTTCATGGAAATGTTCTGCTAGTGGGAAGGACTGCTCCAATATACTTAATCTATCGCTGCTTAAAGAAGATACTAGATCCATTATATCCTTAAGATCTTCCATCTTCTCTCTGATATTGTTCATGTCTTCGCTAGGTGGCGATTCGCGAAGTACCTTCTTAACGCTGGAAATAACGTCACGCACACGACTTTTCTGACTTAATATATCGTCATTAAGAGCTTTGTGCTCTCTGAGTTGAATTCGAATGGTGTCAGTATCAGCAGATGGTTTTTCAGCTTCGTTAATTTGAGTTTCGACTTCGTGGAACCATTCCAAAAGCTCATCAATGTCAGAGGTTACTTCTAAAGCACGCTGCTTGGCAAGATAAATCCTCTCAGCGCGGCGTTGGATTTGTTCGGAAATGGCATCGAATCTTCTATTGTCCCTCGTCACTAACGATTCTATAGTAGCCGGACTTTCTGCTGGACTTGCTTGACACAACTGCGGGCCGACAAGATTGATAGATTCAAGAACAGTTCGGAATTCTAGCAACTCTATTTCTAATCTGGCAATGTCCACTTCGCGTGGATTTCCAGATTGCAGGACATTTTCGGCGCCTTGCATCCAACTGACCATCTTGTTATGATCATTATGGAATTGTTCTACCAATGGTAACATTTCCTGTGCGTGTTTAAGTACATCCGTTCCACGGCTCGTTAGCTCGTTGCTTCTTCTTTGCAACGAGTCCAATTTGTCTTTTAGTAGAAGCGCTTCTTCAGATGAAATATGCTTCATAACAATTAAGCCGGCATCAATTGTTCCATCAACATCACTTTGACGACTTGCTATATTTTCGGTCAAGACGATCAATCCATTGATTTGCTCCAAAAGTTTATCATTATAAACGGACAATACTTTGTATTTGGCAAATTGATTTTCAATTGAATCCATCCATGTCGTTAGATCGTTGTATGTATGCACCAAATGTTGAAGAGCTTTTTGAGAATCAGTTAATAATTTACCAATTTCATTGCTGTCTTCAATCAAATTACTGTATTTTTGGTTTACAAAATCCAATTTGTCTTTTACGATATTTGCATCCTCTTCTCCAACCAACAATAACAAATTAGAAACTGTATCATTCAATTTATCAAAATCAGGTTTTTTATCCAAAATTTCAGTATGCAAGGTGATGTGCGTTTTAATTATGTTATATATTTTCTCTTCATCGGACGGTACAACCTCCATTTGTTTCAATTGTTTTTCTTTAGATTCCAACCAATCATGAATTAAACCATATTTCTCAGCAAAGTCTTTGGAAATGATTTTAGCCTTTTCTAAATCAGCAGCACGTTTATCGGCACGTGTTCTAAGAGCGTCGAATCTTTCTAACAAAAGTTTGAATTGTTCCTCAACAGTTTTACGTTTCGAGGCATCGGCCTCTTTAGCAATTTCGTTGTGCATGCTATATAAAGAAGACATAGAATTTTGTCTGTCCAGAAGCATTTTCTTGAGGAACTTTTGCTCTTGCAATTGAGCATTGACGACTTTGTAATCGGCGGATGGTCGTTTCTGGTTATTTACCATTTCTTCAGTGTCTCTTAACCATTTATCAAGTCCTTCTAAGGCTTCTTGGAATTTACCAGTTTGTAATAACACCAAATCTAGGTTACGTTCACGTTCATTAACTATTTCTTTTAGATTGTTCCAAGAATCGTTCATCTTCTCGATATCATCTTCCAGAACATGAGTACTGGTACCAGGAGCAGTAGATTGTATTAAGTGTTTAGCAAGCATGTTGCATTCCTCGACGTTTTTACCAAGTGGATCAACAATCTTTTCTCTAAAACCAAGCATGTCCAATTGTTGAACACGTACAATCTCGACGTCAACGCCGATCGGTTGCAGCTTGTAAATTTCCTCGGTTGCATCTTTGGTTTCATTTCTTATTGCCAAAAGAATAACATAGAAGTTTTCCAATTTGGTTAGTGTAAGTCCAAGTTCTTTCTCCTTTTCGGATAGACGATCTTCCAGCAAAGAAGACTGGTTTTTAAGATTATCCAATTGTTTGATGTGAACGCTATTTGGAGAAATTCCACTTTCTTCCATTTTCTTGATGCTTTCGCATACCGGGATTAATCTGTCTTGGAAGTCTTTCAATTGTTTCGATATTTTGGAAGTATCTTCAAGTTGATTACGCACAGTATCCACGTCCCTTCCAGCAGGTTTAATCGAATCCACTTCGGTTTCAATTGGAGAAATTCCACTCGATATTTCTTTGATGAGCTCATTGAATTGAGTGGCTACATTAACTGCCGATTCTAAATCGTTGTAACGTTTGTCCAGTTTAACTTGCAGCTGCTCAATGCGATCACCCATATTCTTAACTTCTACAATGAACTGATTATCTTCAATTCCGACTTCTTTTGCTTCACTGTATAACGTTTCTGCTTGCACTTTGCAGTGTTTAAATGGCTTATATAAATTCTTCACTTCACTGCCTAAATCTTTAATAATATTCAGCAATTTAAGATTCTTGGAATCCACATTCAGCGCGTCATGTGAAGCCAGCTTATCCTCGCACCTTTCCAAGTTGTGCAACAAATTTCTCATATTCTCATTGTAGCTAACCAACTTCTTATCTAAATCTTCAAGAGTTTGAGTTTGTTGCAGTAAGTCGTTATTAATTTGTTCCCAGCTGTATTTTAATTTGATCATTTCTTCGTTGACGATTTCATGATCGACATCACAGGATGCGATGAACGACTCTCCCAAAGATTTCACGTTTTCGAATTCTCCGGATTTCTTCCAAACGTCATTACGGAAAGATTGCAAATCTTTCAGTTGCTTCTCGATGTGTTGCTTCTTCAATGAGGATGGTATTAAGCTTTTTAATTTTTGCTCGGCTTGCTGGACGAATGGAGAAAAGTTGTCTTGCGCTCGATAGTATTTTTTGCATTGTTCCATGCAAGTCTGCAATCTATTGTGTCTATCTGTGGTTTCTTTGCGCACCTTATCCCAATTCATTTGTATTTTATCGAGATTCTCTTGAAGTTTAGCGGAATCCGATTTATTATTACGTGCGAATAAATCACGCCTCCTGTTTAAGAGCATAATTACCTCGTGCTCACGCGATACCACATCTTTGTAAATCGGTTCGTGCCGTGCTAATTGCTGTTCCAATACCACACGATTACCAGAAACCCGTAATTGGTCTGATATTAAATTCAATTCACCGTGCAACCAACCGATGGTTTTAGTGCAGGCCATATCGAATTCTCTGCCATCTCGTAATGTATTTTCGATGTCGGCTTTCTGGTGGTCCAACTTCTTTTGCAAGGCACTGTACTGTCTTCCGATTGCAGCTAACTTAGTTTGTATGTCAGCTCTGGATGCTGAATCGCTGAGAACCTTACTTAACTCAGTGCCAGATAATTCTAGATCTGTCAGGAGTGATCGTTGCCCTTGCAACTGCCTATCCAAATTCTCAATTTTACTCAGTTGGTCTTCGGTCTCCTTCTCCAACGGAATTTCATCTAAATAATCGGAGTTAGCCTGAAGAGCATCACGGAGACGAATAAGTTGTGCATCAAATTCACGTCCTGTATCTGCAGCGGCGCCCAATGATTTAGCACGTTCTTCTAAATTACCTAGAAGATCATCCCACGAGCTTTGGATCTTTTTCAATTTATCATCGATCTCCTTTCCATTCGATGGATCTTTTTTGGCAGCAGTTGTGGATACCAATTTACCAATATCAATTAAATGTTGCAACTGCGGTTCTTGGGTGCGGAATTCATCCCTGAGGACTTGAACTTGTTGGAATTGGGATTGCACCATACGTGGATCATTGGAGATTGGGCCCAGCACTGTTAACATCTTATCCTTAGAGTTCAACCATGTTGCCAACAGAATGTAGGTTTCTTCGAACTTTTTCAGGCTGTTGATGAATTTGTTTCGGTCACTGCAAGAATCGTTTAGTTTTTTCCAGTTCGAAACAACTTCCTCCAGTTCATCATTCAGATTATCAGCACCATTAACATTCGGTTTACGAACGACAAGATCCTTCACCTGAGAAGACGTGGAATCCAGCAGTGATTGTTTCTCGTAAAACTCGTCGAGAACTTGTTTCAATTCATTTGAAGCCTTATCGGACGCTTCCTTGTTTGCAGGAATTATGTCTTTCGGTATTCTATTTTCAATGTTCTTCAAGAAATTGTTTAAGTTTTGCAAGTTTTTGGTCTGTTTCGTTATTTCAATGATGGATGAATCGATTTCATTGCGTCGCTCATTAATTTTTATACCAATAAGTGTATAATAATCGGTTATTTGTATAAGTTTCAGTTGCATAGGACTGGTCTCTTCCGAACCATCTTGACTTGAGCGGCGTGAAGAGAAACCACTTGATTCACCGGTGGAAAGCGGACTAATACCCTTAGCGGGAGATGGTAGTCTAGCTGTTTGAGAAGGTCGCCTCGCTAAAAAAAAAGAAGAATTTAATTTAATTTTTTATAACCCAAATAAATAAATGATGTTGATTCTTACCAGGACTTGCTGAAGATTTCGGTTTCTTGCTGGATGCATCCGGACGCGATACATTGTCATATAGACTTCCGGTTTCGTTAAGCTTCTGCACTTTGACTAAGAAATCTTTATGTTCTTTAACAATCGGTTGTAGTTCCTCACGTTGCTTTTTGAGCGTAGGTAGATCAAGAGCGACATCATCCAAATTCTTGACTTCAGCCTCCAATTGATTTAACTTATTACTGATTTCTTCAACCAACGTTTCGTAGGTGTTCAAATACACTGTGCGTTGCTGGAACAAATTCTGCTTCTCGTCCAATATACTATTTAATTCGTTCCATTTCATTTCAATTGATTTCATTTCTTCTTTAACTGGGGCCATATCTGCAATATCCCGAGTATTCAACAAATCTTTTCCAGCTTGCATGACTTCATCAAACAATGGCCGTCTGCTTTCACGATTTTCTTTAATCTTTTCTACGTCCATCTTAGAGTCCTGCTCTTCGCACGTATTATCATACCATTTGTTGAATTCATCAGCTAGCAAGTTAAATGCTGCGAGCCGTTTATAGATATCTTTAAGGACTTCGCCACGTTGTTCACTGCGATCTAATAATTTCTCGAATTTGTTCCTGGCGTTGTCCAGTTTATCTTGGATTTTCTTAGCTGCTCTAGCATTATTGGCACATGAAATTAACTCACTTGCAGACATATATATCGAATCCATTGAAGCTACATGCGTATCAACATCGGCTTGGTACACTTCGTGATCGCGAATCTGATCTTCTAGACGTTGCTTGATTAATGAAGCTTGCCCATTGATACCCTTGAACTCGACTTCTGCTGTATTAATCCATGCTGTGATATTGTCCAAAGCTTCTTCGACTCCTTGCGATTGAACCAATGCAGAATCAAGATCTTGACAGCGTTCTCCAAGAGCAACCTTGAGTTCCTGGAACTTTTTATCTAATTCGATGATGGGTTCCTCGATAGTTGTAATATCGACAGGGCTCATTTTATCCTCCAATGAATGCAACAGCGTACTGTAATTCTGTTTCGCATTATCGATAAGTCTTCCGTTACCAACAAATTCATTGTTCAGGATCTTAGCAGCTTGAAGTTGTTCTTCGACCATCCTCGAATCACCACCGATCGGTTCACTGAGTATTTTTTCGACAGAACCTCCTATATGGTTCAACCAGTCTCTGGCTTTATCTAAAGAATCATTATATGATTTATGCTTGCTGCCTATTATTGTTAAACTATCTGAAAGCATGTTGACCCGATGTAGAGTCTCCTTATATTGATCGGCAATCACAGTAACTTGATTGTGTATTTCAGGTTTTGCAATCGATGAGCTAGATATAAAATCTTTAAGTAGGGTTAGATAATTCCTACATTCCTCTGAGAATTTTTGGTCAGACAAAATAATAAATCTGAGATCTGCCTGATGAGAAATCACATCAGATACAAATTCTCTCGTACTCTCAACACTTGAATCCAAAGTCTGTAGTTGACTCAACGCTTTATCTTTACTTTCGAGAATGATTTGTGCGTTATCTAACCATGTCGAAAAGTCGGCAACATCCAATTTGAGTTTTTGTAATTCCTCCTTGATTGCCAGCAAATATTTAATTAGCTTCTCAGTGCAATCGCAAACCTTCGCGTAGCGAGTTTTCAAGTCCTTGGAATTCTTTTCGATATTAGTGATTTCTGTCTTGGAGAGCACATCGCTCATTGTAAGTACATGACGCACCATTTCTAAACATTCCATGATCGGATCAGAATGTTTCTTAATATCCTCTATGAGTTGTTGAGTATGTTCAATCTGGTTTATAATTTGTTCATCCGTGTCGAAAACGGTAGACCCTTTGCCAATGTTTTCTTCTACTTGCTGTATCCATTGCAGCAACTTTGACAGAGTTTCGTCGCACAACTTGTATTTTCCTTCGACGGCTTGCTAGAATTGAACCATTAAGATTAACACTTAATATTATATAATATTATTGTAATTTTAATGTATGATTAAAATAATGATTATTTAACCAAAACTACCAATTAATTTCATATGTTAGTATTTTTATCGAATGTGAAGAGAAAAAGGAATGAATGCAAACTAAATATTGGTGATAAAGATGTATTAGCTTCTGCTAATTTTATGTTAATTATGAGCCTTTTCCAAGTGACTAAAAGATGTGATTCTTGTATGGTCGGAACATGCAGAAATGTTGAAGCAAACCACCACGTAAATATGTTAAACTCACATAGCTGCAAAAAAAAAAATGAAACAAATAGTGTAAGCAATTTTAGCATAAGCGAAATAATTAATATGACTATGTAATATTATCTATAGAATAGTTAAAAAGAACACTTACCCTTTCGTCTGCAGCCTTAATCAATCCTTTGTCCAAAGCTATACTAAAATCAATAGTTTTATCATTCTTATAAGAAATGCGACCTTCGTTTCCATCCACAACATATTTCTGAACTGCTTCCGTGAGTTGCATCATGTTCCCACTTTCTAGGTCCTTAATGACAGTGCTGCTCGGATCGATTAATTGATGTTCAATCGCGTCGTGTAAGGTCAATTCGTTCTTTTTCTTTGTATCCTCGAATGGACTGACAAAACTACCAGTCTTTGGATTGTACACACCGTATTCGATGGCATCAATCAAAGCAAACTTCTTCTTAGGCGTTAATAGCAGACCTTTATCAATAGCTTTTGGTAATTGATAAAGCTTAGAAGTGGCGCTATCTAATATATTTCCTTTCTCTGCATCAACGAGACCTTTGCGGAAACATTCTGGTAACTTCAAGAGTTTCTTCGTTTTTGTATCCTTGACCAATGCCGTATCGGAATCAATATATCCTAAGGTTATTGATTCTTTCAACGTCAATACATCGTTAGTCTGTGGATCGGTAAATTTACCGGTAGTTATATCTAAATACTCGTTATCTAAAGCAGCATCAAAGCTCATAGGTTTTCTGATATAGATAACAACAACTTGATCATAAAGTGCAATCAAGGATTTTACTTTTCCACTTGGTTCGAAGGAAATTGTCTTATCCATATTCATAGTATCGTCTGCGATAAATGAAGCTAAGGTGTTGAATTCTCCAGTATTGCTATTTTTAACAACAGCATTGTTTACATCGAGGAGATCATATTTGATTGCTTCTTCTAAAGTGCATTGTCTGATATTTAGTTTAGGTTTCGTTATGGCTACATTTTGTACAGTCAATGGTTCATCCAGGGTAACCAAAATGCCTTCACGGATCGCCGTATCAATGGTATATGTATTTCTAGTGGTCGGATCTCGAACACGGCTTGTCTCAACATCGATATCTCCATCAGTTATTGCTAGACATAATGGTTTTATAGAACCATCGACTTCTTTTAATCCGGTTGTGCTTGAGTCTATCAGATTGTTTTCTAATGCGTACTTTAACTTGAACAATTCATTCTGTGTTGGATCAACGAATGTTCCAGACTCAGGTTGGTATAAACCATTATTAACAGCCTCTTCTATAGTCAACAATTTGTGTGGTGTAACGATTAGACAGCTATTTTTAGCTTCTAATAAATTCAATTTCTTGCCGTTCGGTAAATTATATTGATTTGTTTCGCCGTTAATCAAATTATCTTTAATAGCATCTGCGAGCAAAACAAATTTCTTACTTTGGATGTGTTTAATAATCGTAGTATTCGGATTTATTAAGTCATTACTTAATGCCTCGTTTAATGTACATTTAATATTTGTAGCTGGATGTATTAGCATATTATTTTCAATAAGACTCATCTCTAATAGATCGTACAAACTAAAATCGCATGTTTCTATGTCAACGATTAATCCTTGTTTCATTGCTTCACTTAATGGCATTTTCTTGGAGCTATTTGGTTTCTTCAATGTTCCAGTATATTTATCAACTACGCCCAATACGCACGATTCTTTAAGACTAAACAATTTCTTAGTTTTTTTGTCGAAATAGCATGGTAACAAAGGATTAATCAAATGTTTTCGTATGGAATCGTGAAGTGTAATCATACGATTTGTAGATTCATCCAATAATTTTCCAGAATCTTCGTTGTATAAGCCATTATGAATGGATCTTTGCAAAGATATAGATGCATGATCATCGATAATCAAGCCTTCGCTAAATGCTTCTTTCAGAGAAACCACCGTTAATTTGCCAGATGAATAATCATTAATATTTCCAGTAGTACCATCAACAAGACCAGACTTAATTGCATCTAATAATTTGACTCTAACACCTGAATTAATGATGTAAACTGATTTAACTTCGATTAATTGCATTTCAATAGCTTGAATTAATGTGAGATGCAGACCAGATCTAGGACAAAGGAAAGTTAATGTCTCTTGATTAAAGATGTATACCAAGGCATCAGTTAAAGATAAAGGAGACACAGCTTCAAACAATATGCCCATCTCAAAGGCTTCTTTGAAATCAATGACAGGTTCTCCTTCAAATACCACAAGACCTTCTTCGGTATTAATTTTTCGCTCCTTAACAGCTTGCTCGAAGTTTATATAATGTTCGTGATCATTGACTAATGTATTGGAAGTATCAAGTAATCCCACATTAATAGCCATTTCAGTAGTTAATGTATTGTTATTCTCGGGGTTAACAATGAATCCATTTTGCGGATTATAATATCCTTCGTAAACAGCATCGGGTAGGGTGATTTGATTCTTATGGGTTTTAGGTTTATCTGAAACTTCAGATATTAATTCTTCTATGATGATTGGCTTCTCTGAGATTGTTTTATCCATAACATCTGTGGGTAATTTCTGATCTTTCAATTTAGTTTTCTTTTCCTTCTCAGGTTTCTCTGAACTTTTAGGTTTGTCTGCTACGATGACAGACTTTTCAGAATGTGGCTCTTGTTCTTTTATTTGACTTTGATTTTGTGGTTTAAGTTTCTCCTCTCGCTTAACAATATTTGTAGATTCTTCAACTAATGCTTCAGTATCAGTAACTGAAATTTCAGTAACCTCCTTATCTTTCTGATCCTTAGATTTAGGTTTATTTTCCTTCTTTGGTTTCTCAGAAGTTTTTGGTTTCTCTGCAACTGTTGGTTTTTCAGTAGGTTTATCTACAGATTTAAGAACATCCGCCAGTCTAGGCTGTTTATCTTCCTCGACAGTAAACGTATCCTTTTCTATTTCCATCTTTTCCATTTGAATAAAGTCCATGTTAACTTCTGTCTTTTCAGTCGGTAATTTCTGATCCTTAACTTTAAGTTTATCTGGCTTCTCAGGAGTTTTAGGTTTGTTTGCTATGATGACAGACTTTACAGATTCTGGTTCTTGTTCTTTTACTTGACTTATGTCTTTAGGTTTCTCTTCTTTAACAATAATTGTAGATTCTTCAACTAATGTTAGATTATCAGTGAATGGTATTTCCATAACATCCTTGGATAATTTTGTATCCTTAGATTTAGGTTTCTTTTCCTTCTCAAGTTTATCAGAAGTTTTAGGTTTTTCTATAACGGTCGGTTCTTTTGAGATTTCAGTTAGTAGTTCTTCTGCGATGACAGGTTTTTTCGATTTTGGTTCACTATCTGTTAATTGACTTGCATCTTGTGGTTTAGGTTTGTCTTCTTGTTTGAAACTAATTGTAGATTCTTCGACCAATGTTACACTACCAGTAACCAGTTTCTCCGCAATATCCTTAGGTAATTTCTTAGTATCAGTTGGTTCCTTTGACATTTCAGTTAGTACTTCTTCAATGACAGGCTTTTTCGATTTTGGTTCATTTTCTGACAATTTACTTGAATCTTGTGTTTTAGGTTCCTCATCTCGTTTGACAATAATAGTAGATTCTGCAAATAATGTTACACTACCGGTAACTGGTTTTTCTGTTACATCCTTTGGTAACTTCTGTCCTTTAGGTTTCTTCTCCTTGGGTTTCCCAGATGTTCTAGGTTCTTCTGTAACTGTCGGTTTTTCTGGTATTTTTGTTGATTTATCATCCTCCAGTTTTGGCATTTTATTTTCCTCAACACTAAACACATTCTTTTCTATTTCCGTCTTTTCCATTTGTATAAAGTCCATATTAATGTGTGCTTTATTAGGAATATCTGCAGGTAATTTGTGATCATCATATATGGGTTTCTTCTCTTTTTTGGGTGTATCAGAATCGCTAGGTTTTTCTGTAATTATTGGTTCTTCTGAGACTTTAGTTGAAACATCTTCTATAATAACTGACTTTTCTATTGTTGGTTCATGCTGGTTTATTGCCTTCGAATCTTGCAGTTTCGGTTTCTCCTCTTGTTTGACAATAGTTTTAAATTCTTCAATTAACGTTACCTTCGTAGTAACTGTTTTGTCAGTAACATCTTCAGGTAATTCCTGATCTTTAGCTTTTGGTATATTTTCCTTCTCAGGTTTATCAGATGTTTTAGGTCTTCCTGTAACAGTTGATTCCTTTGGTATTTCAGTAGATACTTCTTCTACCATGACTGGCTTTTTTGATATATGTTCACTTTCAGACAATTTACTGGAATCTTCTGATTTAGGTTTTTCCTCTTTTTTGACAATAATTGTAGATTCTTCAACTAATGTTACACTACCGGTAACTGGTTTTTCAGTTACAACCTTGGGTAATTTTTGTTCTTTAGGTTTCTTATCTTTCTTCGGCTTCTCTGATGTTTTAGGTTCTTCTGTAACTGTCATTTTCTCTGGTATTTCTGTTGGTTTATCATCCTCCAGTTTTGTCATTTTCTTTTCCTCAACACTAAACTTATTCTTTTCTATTTCCGCTTTTTCCATTTGAATAAAGTCAATGTTAATTTGTGTCTGGTTAGGAACATCAGTAGGTAATTTCTGATCATCATATTTGGGTTTTTTCTTTTTCTTTGATTTGTTAGAATCGCTAGGTTCTTCTGTAATTATTGGTTCTTCTGAGACTTTAGTTGAAACTTCTTCTATAATAACAGGCTTTTCTATTGTTGGTTCATGTTGGTTTATTTCCTTCGAATCGTGAAGTTTTGGTTTCTCCTCTTGTTTGGCAATAGTTTTAAATTCTTCAATCAATGTTACCTTCATAGTGACTGTTTTGTCCGTAACATCTTCAGGTAATTCCTGATCTTTAGCCTTTGGTATCTTTTCCTTCTCAGGTTTATCAGATGTTTTAGGTCTTCTTGTAATAGTTGGTTCCTTTGGTATTTCAATAGATACTTCTTCTACCATGACAGGCTTTTTCGATATATGTTCACTTTCAGGCAATTTACTTGAATCTTCTGATTTAGGTTTTTCCTCTTGTTTGACAATAATTGTAGATTCTTCAACTAATTTTACACTACCGGTAACTGGTTTTTCAATTACATCCCTAGGTAACTTCTGTCCTTTAGGTTTCTTCTCTTTCTTGGGCTTCTTAGATGTTTTAAGATCTTCTGTAACTGTCAGTTTCTCTGGTATTTCTGTTGGTTTATCATCCTCCAGTTTTGTCATTTTCTTTTCCTCAACACTAAACTTATTGTTTTCTATTTCCACTTTTTCCATTTGAATAAAGTCTATGTTAATTTGTGTCTGGTTAGGAACATCAGTAGGTAATTTGTGATCATCATATTTGGGTTTCTTCTCTTTCTTGGATTTGTCAGAATCGCTAGGTTTTTCTTTAATTACTGGTTCTTCTGAGACTTCAGTTGATACATCTTCTATAATAACAGGCTTTTCTATTGTTGGTTCATGTTCTTTTATTTCCTTCGACTCGTGTGGTTTGGGTTTCTCCTCTTTTTTGGCAATAGTTGTAGATTGTTCACTTAATATTACATTCGTACTAACTGTTTTATCTGTAACATCTTCAGGTAATTTTTGATCTTTAGATTTCGGTATCGTTTCCTTTTCAGGTATATCAGAAGTTTTAAGACTTCCTGTAACAATTGATTCCTTTGATATTTCAGTAGATATATCTTCTACCAAAACAGGCTCTTTAGATTTTGGTTTACTTCCTGATAATTTACTTGAATCTTGTGGTTTAGGTTTTTCCTCTTGTTTGATAATATTTGTAGATTCTTCGACTAGTGTTACACTACCGGTAACTAGTTTTTCTGTAACATCCTTGGGTAGCTTCTGTCCTTTATGTTTCTTCTCTTTCTTAGGCTTCTCAGATGTTTTGGGTTCATCTGTAACTGTCGGTTTCTCTGTTATTTCCGTTGGTTTATCTTCAAGTATGAGAACATCCTCCAGTTTTTGCATTTTATTTTCCTCGACACTAAACTTATTCTTTTCTGTTTCCATCTTTTCCATTTGGATAAAGTCCATGTTAATTTGTGTCTTGTTATGAATATAAGTAGGTAATTTCTGATCATCACATTTGGGTTTCTTCTCTTTCTTGGGTTTGTCACTAGGTTTTTCAGTAATTATTGGTTCTTCTGAGACTTTAGTCGAAACATCTTCTTTCTCCTCTAGCTTAATAATAAATGTAGATTCTTCAAGTAATACATTACTAGCGACGGGTTTTTCCGCAACATCCTTGCGTAACTTCTCAGAAATTGGTTTTTCTCCAATAATCGGGACCTCTGATATTTTAGTTGGTACATCTTCCTTCTCTTCTTTGACTATAATTGTAGATTTTTCAACTAATGTTACATTATCTATTGCTATTTTTTCCGTAACATCCTTTGGTAATTTCTGATTTTTAGATTTTGGTTTCTTATCTTTCTTGTACTTTTTGTCAATTTCTGACACTTTCGTTGATACATCTTCTACAGTAACATACTCATCAGTTTTTGGCATATTTTCTTTTAATTGATTTGGATCATGTGATTTAGGTTTTTCCTCTTGGCTGATAATAATAGTAGATTCTTCAACAAATGTTACATTCCCAGTAACTGTAACATCCTTAGTTTCCCGATCATTAGATTTTTTCTCTCTTTTAGGTTTCTCAATAATTGTTGGTTTCTCTGTTCGTTTCTTGGTTTCTTCAGTTGAAACATCTTCTACGAGCACAGGCTGTTCGGATATTGGTTCTTTCTCTTTCACTGGACTTGAATCTTGTTTAGGTTTCTTGTTGTCGATAACTGTAGATTCCTTAACTAATGATACATTCTCACTAACTGGCTTTTCCGTAATATCCTTTGGTAATTTCTGGTCTTTAGATTTTAATGGCTCCTCTTTCTTGGGTTTTTCGGAAGATTCGAGATCATCTGGTTTTTCAGTAGGTTTTCCTTTAGTTGTGAGAACATCCTCCAGTTTAGGCATTTTATTTTCTTCGATACTAAACTTATTCTTTTCTATTTCCTTCCTTTCCATTTGGATAAAATCCATGTTAACTTCTGTCTTGACAGGAATATCAGTGGAGAATTTTTGATCTTTAGATTTGGGTTTTTTCTCTTTCTTTGACTTTTCAGAAGTTTTAGGTTCTTCGGTAACTATTGATACCTCTGATATTTTAGTTGGAACAACTACTACAATTTCTTTCTGATGTTGCGGTTTGGGTTTCTCCTCTTGTTTGACAATAACTGTAGATTCTTCAACGAATGTTACGTTACCAGTGAGTGGTTTTTCTGTAATATCCTTGGTTAAATTCTGATCTTTAGATTTCGGTTTCTTATCTTTCTTGGGCTTCTCAGAAGTTTTAGGTTCTTCACTAACTGTTGGTATATCTGTGATTTTGGTTAATACATCATCTACGATGACAGACTTTTCTGTTCTTGGTTGATGTTCTTTCATTTCTTTTGGAATGTGTGGTTTGGGTTTCTCCTCTTGTTTGACAATAACTGTAGATTCTTCTACGAATGTCACGTTACCAGTGACTGGTTTTTCTGTAACATCCTTGGGTAAATTCTGATCTTTAGATTTGGGTTTCTTCTCTGTCTTGGTCTTCTCAGAAGGTTTAGGTTCTTCAGTAACTGTTGGTACATCTGAGATTTTGGTTGATACGTCATCTACGAGGACAGTATTTTCTGTTCTCTGTTGATGTTCTTTCATTTCTCTTGGAATGTGCGGTTCGGATTTCTCCTCTTGTTTGACAATAACTGTAGATTCTTCAACAAATGTTACATTATCGGTAACTGTTTTTTCCTTAATATCCTCTGGTAATTTCTGATCTTTAGATTTCGGTTTCTTCTCTTTCTTGGGTTTCTCAGAAGATTTAGGTTTTTCTGCAATTGCCAGTTCATCTGGTTTTTCAGCAGGTTTATTTTCAGTTATAAGAATATTCTCTAGTTTTGGCATTTTATTTTCGCCGGCACTGAACTTATCCTTTTCTATTTCCATCTTTTCCATTTGGATAAAGTCATTCGTATATTTAGTTGTATGATCTTCAATGGTTTTTTTATCATGAAGTTTATAATCTAAACTAGGTGAGATTTTTACTGGAATTTCTTTATCAACTATATTTTCAATATCCTTGGAAGGATCATGTTTATATTCTGGCTTCTTACAAACAAATTCTTCAACAGTTGATTGATTTTCTTCGATATCAGGTTTAGGTTTCTCCTCTTGGTTGATAATAGTCGATTCTTTAACTATTGTTACATTTTCCTTGATTGGCTTTTCTGTGACTTGCTTCGAAGACATACCAGGGATTTTCTGCATAAACTTCTGGAAGAAAGATTTTTCTTCTGGTTTGGACTGTTTCTCAGGTTCTGAAACTACATCTTCAACTTGTGTAATTTCCTTATCTTTAGATTTAGTTTTCTTCTCTTTCTTGGGTTCGCCAGAAGTTTTAGGTTTATCTGTAACTGTCGTTTTCTCTGATGAATCTTCAACTATGTTAAGATTTGTTGGTGTTTGTTTTTCTAATTGACTTGCTTCGTGGGTTTTAGGTTTCTCTTCCTCGTTAACAATAATTGAAGATTCTTCAACTAATATTACTTTCTCAATTTCTGCCTTATTAGGAATATCAGTCGGTAGTTTCTGATCTTTAGGTTCCTTCTCTTTCTTGGGTTTCTCAGAAATATCAGGTTTTTCTACAACAGTCGGGACCTCTGATATTTTAATTGGCATTTTTCTTGGATGCGGTTTGGGTTTCTCCTCTTGTTTGATAATAATTGTAGATTGTTCAACTAAAGTTACATTATCAGTAACTGATTTTTCCGTAACATCCTTAGGTAATTTCTGATCTTTTGAGTTAGGTTTCTTTTCTTTCTTATGTTTCTCTGTAATTTTGGTTTGTTCTAAAACCTTTGGTTCCTCTAAAACTTCAGTTGATGGAACTTCTATAATGTTGAGCTTTTCAGATTTTGGTTCTTTTTCTTTCTCTTGACTTGGATCCTGTAATTTAGATTTCTCCTCATGGCTGACAATAATTGTAGAATCCTCAATCAATGTTACCTTCTCAGTGACTGCTTCTTCCACTATATCCTTTGATAATTTCTTGTCTTTAGACTTCGTTTTCTTCTCTTTCTTGGATTTCTCAGATGATTTAGGTTTCTCTGTAACAGTTGGTTCATCTACTTTTTCACTAGGCTTATCATCAGTGTTGACGTCATCCACTACTTTTGGCATTTTATTTTCGCTGGCTCTTAAAAGATCCTTTTCTATTTCCATCTTTTCGTTTTGTATAAAGTCGTAAGTAACTTTAGTTTTTTTAACTTCTGTAACTTCCTTATCAACTATATTCTTCTTTTCGACTGTTGGTTCCTGTGATGACTCAGTTGGTATGTCTTCAACTACTTTTGGCTGAATTTTCTTCGATGGTTTCTGATCATGAGATTTAGTTTTCTCTTGTTGTTTCAAAATAACTGTTGATTCTTCAAGTAAAGTGATATTCTCTATTTCTGGCATATTCACAGATTCCTTGAGATGTTTTTGATCTTGTGGCATAGATTTTGTTTCTTTCTTAGATTTATTGGATGGTTTTTTATCGTGTGGTTTAATTTCAAGTGTTTCCTCAGGTTTTTTAATTTCAGGTTTTTCAATTTTAAATGATTTGTCTGGAATATCGGGAACACTAATCGAAGGTTCTTCAATAACAGTTACCCTTACAGTTTTTTGCTTTTCTTCAGTTTCTTTAACCGATATCTGATCCTCTGGTTTTTGTTTCTTCTCTTTTTTGGTTTTTTGCTTTTTGTCAGTATGAGCATCATCACTTGGATGTTTCAATAGGTCCACTGATGATTCATCTTTATCTACTGTTTTCGTTGAAATTTCCTGTACTGTTTTATCTATAGGTTTTTCTTCAAAGGGATCTAACTTTTCTTTTTTCAGTATATCAGAAATTTGCTGCTTTTTAATATCTACAGGTTTTTTGCCCATTGTACTTACTATTGTTTCATCAATAATTGTTACCTTTACCGATTTAGTTTCTTCTTCGGAAACATTATAATCTTGAGATTTATCTTCTTTTGGAAGTGATTTAGAAGTTTCAGGTTTGAATTCATCTTTTGTTGGTATTTGAGAAATTGTGTTAAGTTTCTCAGGTGTCTTCTCAGAATCTGATGGTTTTTCATGCAATACAGTTCCATCGGCAATAGTAACTTTAAGTGTTTTTTGTTCTTCCACAACAATCTTTGATGTTTTTTGATCGTTCAATTTAATTTTGTCCTCAGAAATTTCAGATTTTGTTACATGTTTTACCTTTTCAGCATACGAAACTTCGCTTCCCTTAGGTTTTTTAACTGAATTTAATTCAGCGGGAACAGTTTTATCCTCAGTCTTCAAATATTTCGGACGAGCCAGTTTTTCTTTCTCGTAATCAATAATTACAAAGCCGTCATTTTCCGGTTTATGTTCAACAGTTGAAGTTTTCGTTTCAGAAGTTTCGTCCACGTTTTTAGATTTTTTCTTCTTATTTCTTTTAGATTTTTTAGTGGTTTTAATATTTTCTTCATTGGGGGATGCTTCATCTGTGCTAGGTGATACTTCTTCGATGGGTTTAGGCTCCTTTTTCTCGTGTTTTACAATTATTTCTTTCGTCTCTTCAACTAAAAATTTACTAGTAGTTTCAATAGCTGAAGTTTGATCGCTTGTTTCGCTTTTAGTTTTCGGTTTTTTCTTCTTTCCTTTGGAAGATATTCCAGGAATTTTTTGCATAAACTTCTGGAAGAAAGATTTTTCTTCTTGGCTTGATGGTTCGTCGGGTTCTGAAAATACATCTTCATCTTTTGGAATCTCCTTAGTGTTGGCCTTTTCATCCTTAACGATTTTCGATGGTTTGCTTGGTGTGCCAGTTTTCTTAATATCATCTGTAGGTTGCTTACTAACAATAATTTCATCACTTGGTTCAGTATTACTTTCTATCACCTTAGATTCTTCACTTGGCAATGATACGACCGTTTTCGTTACAGTAGTCTTCGTTACAGTTTCGTAAGATTTACTGTCTTCGGGTATTTTAGTATCTACTATAATTAACTTATCTTTTTCCATTTCCATCTTTTCAATTTGGATAAAATCATCAAAATGTTTAGTTTTATGTTCTGGAGATTTACTAACTTCACTTGGCATTTTATCATGAGGTTTAATATCTGCTGTTGTCTTTTTCTTTGAGACTTTTTCCGGAGTTTTCTTATCAAGTACTTTCTTAATATCCTCAGTAGGTTTCTTTTTTTCTTCTGGCTTCTCACCAAGTGGGACTATTTTTTCAATTTCCCCCATTACAAGTTTGGAAATACTATATTTATCATCTTGGCGTGGCTTTTCATCAAGCTTTTTATCTCCAATTGGTGTTTTCTTTTCTTCCGGATGGCTAGGCTTCTTTTCATCCAATGGCTTCTTAGAATCAGAGACTGCAATTTCTTTAAGTGTATCTTTATCAACTGACTTCGCACTAATAGGCCTATTAGTAGGTTCAGTAGGTCTGAGCACAACTTCTTCTGGACGTTTTTGTTCAATTGGCTGTTTCTTATCTTCGTAAATTTGAATCATTTCTTCAACATTCACTTTCATAGTTTCTTCGGCAATTGATGTATGTGAATCCTCATCATATGGTTTGATAGTTACGTTTTTATCCAGACTACCGACAGGTTCCTTTTTATATTCGGTTGGCTTTTCTTTAATGATTTTTACGTTATCTAATTGTACATCACTAACGAAAGTTGTTTCTTCTACAATATTTGAATCAACAATTTGTACATCTTTCCTTTGAGTTATTTCAGATTCTGTAAATTGATTCTTGTTATCTGATTTTGAAATCTTACTAATATCTTGATCATTATGCTTTGTAGATATAGTAAATTCAGTTTCTGTCACATATTTGTTAATTGTGTCTTTAGTCACTAAGTTGGAATTGTCGATTTTAGTTTCTGAGCTAGTTTTATAGTCAACTCTTGTTGTTGGGATCTTATATTCACTAACTTTGTCTTTAACCACTGCAACAGGTTTATTGATAGCATCCTCTTTAGTTGGTAAATCGCTTTTAGGTTTCACTACTTTTTGTGCAGTATCTACCTTCTCTGCATTGATGAAATCATCGGATTGCATCTTAATATCTCCACGATCTACGGGCGTCTTGTTAGCAAACTTACTTTTCACTGCTTTCGCAACAGCTGCTCCTGCAACAACTGGTGCTACAATAGGAGCAGCTATTCCACCAATAACAGCAATCAAGCCCATTTTTGCAGCTTTCTTAAAATCAACACTTTTTCCGGTTTTCTCTTCTTTAATTTTTCCAGATTTCGAATCAATCAAACCCTCATTCATAGCTTCTTTTATGGTTATTGGTTTCTGAGCGGTAACATCGTAGATCATCGATAGTGGATCTATGATGTCTTTATCTAAAGCTTCCTTAAATGTTAACAATTTACTAGGATTAGCAGGGTCATGGAATTTGTTACTCTCTTCATCATATATTTGATCGAATGCTTGTGCAATGTTTAATTCTGTTGTTTTAACAGTATCGTCAATAACTTCTTCGGTTGGAGCCGCTTCCAGGATTCCTTCCTTAATAGCAACACCGATTTCCATAGTCTCACCAGAATGTGGATCGGTGTATGTTCCAGCATTCATATCGACCAATCCCTTATTGAGAGCATCTGAGAATGACATTTGAACTTTCTTAAGAGTGGTGAAATTTTTATTTTCCTTGTCGCTCAGAATAATACCTCTGACTTTAGCTACAGCGTAGCTCATTATTTCACCAGTACGTAAATCTTGAATTTCCGTGGTGTTAAGTAGGGCATATCCCTTTAATAATTCCAAATACCTTGTCGTGACAATATGCTTGGATGTAGATGTTTTAGTTATTGTGGTATGCGGATTCTTAACATTATCGCTCATTTTAATAATAAGGTAACCTTTTTCTACAGCTTGTTTCACAGGTAAAATTTCACCATTATTTGGATTAGTGAAAGTTCCACTATCTCCGTTTATCAGATTCATATCCAAAGCCTTCTCCAAAGCAACACCTTCGTCGCTCTGTCCAAATGGTAAAACCATAATGCATTTATCCTCAATTGCTTTGTCTATACTCAATTGCTTTCCGGTGGTTGGATGAATGAATTTCTTATTCTTGAGGTCAATATGTCCACGTTTAAGTGCTATAGGGAACGTCATTGCTGCTGGTGGAATACTCTCATTACCTTTGACGTTATCAAACATGTGCTTCTGTACTGCCGTTTGCAGATCCAAATTTCCGTTCTTGGTTATGACAAGCGCTCTGGCATCATCGACCGTACCGTTCTTTAGTGCCTCGAATAAAGTAATTTTCTTACCGCTAAAATTAACATTACTATACGGATCAACAATATCGCATTCAATGGCTTGCGATAATGTTAAATTAGCTCCGGTCTCTGGATGCACAACTTTGTTCGTTTCAGGATCTATCAAACCTTGATCGAAGAGTTCAGGCACCGTTAAACTTTTATTCAAAGGAACCAATACTTCATTTCCGCCGTCCGGATCCAAAATGCCTCTGTACATAGCTTCGTTTATTGTTAAAACATCGCCTCTCTGTGGATCAACTATCTTCCCTTTATTTCCATCCAAGTGATTGTATTCCAGAGCCTCTTGTAAACTCAGAACTTCGCCATCCGGCGATACAAAAATATCTTCCTTGTTCAAAATATCTGCAGTTTGCACATCAATTAGACCTTTCTTCAAGGCATCCTTCGGTCGAACAATTTTCTTCCTCAATTTCTGTAACACGACCTTCTTCACCTCCCTTTCCGGACTTAAAGAAGAAGCTCTACCAATGGAGACTTCGTATTTTGGTTCGATAGTAATTCTTGATCTAGTCTTTTCAGCTAAGGATACATCATCAAATGAAGTCGTCTTCAAAATTTTGTGCTCGTGCATTTTCAGATCATGCAGCACTTCGTCTGTTATTAATTCCTTTCCAGCGGCTTCTGAAAGTGATAAATCTTTGCCGGTGGTAGGATCAATTACCGTGATATTAGTTATCTGTTGTTTCGGTAAGTTCTTCTTCATCAATTCCTCGTAATCTCCAATTGTTAATAAACCAATCCTGAGTGCTTCTTCGACAGTCATCGAAATACCTGATTTAGGATCAGTTATTTTTAATGAAGATTTACCAATAATTCGCTGATATTCTTCATAACTAATAATACCAAGAGATAGAGCTTCCTCTACCTGATAAGATGTTCCGGTTTTTGGATCGGTTATCATTATGCCAGTCCAATTAATTAACTTTTCAACAGGTTTAGGTTGTTCTGATTTCATTTTCTCTAATTGTTCTTCAGAAATTAATCCCATTTTTACAGCTTCCTCCACGAGTATTTTTTCACCCGTTTTAGGGTTGATGATGTAAATATCTAATCTAGTCACTTTATTACCAATAATTTTCTGATATTTTTCTTCATCGATAATACCAAGAGATAAAGCTTCCTCTGCCGGATACGATTTTCCAGTTTTTGGATGGGTTATCATTATTTCAGTCCTTTCAATTATATTATCTGAAAGTTGAGATTGTTCCGTTTTCATTTTCTCTAATTGTTCTAGTGATATTAATCCCATTTTTAGAGCTTCCTCCGCGAGTATTTTCTCACCTGTTTTAGGATTGATTATGTAAATATCTAACCTAGTCACTTTATTACCAACAATTTTTTGATATTCATCTTCGTTTATGATACCGAGAGCTAAAGCTTCCTCTGCCGGATATGATTTTCCGGTTTTTGGATCGGTTAATATAATTTCCGTCCTCTTAATTACATTTCCTGTGAGATTAGATTGTTCGGATTTCATTTTCTCTAATTGTTCTTCTGAAATTAGTCCAATTTTCACAGCTTCCTCCGCGAGTATTTTTTTGCCTGATTTAGGATTGATGATATAAATATCTAACTTAGTCACTTTATTACCAACAATTTTTGTATATTCTTCTTCATTGATAATACCGAGAGCTAAAGCTTCCTCTGCCGGATACGATTTTCCGGTTTTTGGATCGGCTAACATAATTTCCGTCCTCTTAATTACATTTTCTGTGATGTTCGATTGTTCAGATTTCATTTTCTCCAATTGTTCTTGAGAAATTAATCCTATTTTCACAGCTTCTTCTGCGAGCATTCTTTCGCCCGTTTTAGGATTTGAAATGTAAATATCTATCCTCGATACTTTAGTCCTAATCTCGTCTTGAGTAGCCTTCTTAGTCTCGAATTTCATTGTTTCTTGCGTAGTAAAGCCACTTTTAATGACGTTCTTAGTTCCTAAGCTACCTTGCATAGACAGCAACTCTTCTTTAGTCAAAAAGCCAAGAAGGACAGCTTCATCTGCCGAAATTTGTTCGCCCGTCGTCGGATTAATAACCATAACAGTAGATTTCTGCCTTGCCTCAGTGGGATTTTCTTTCAACTTTTCAAATTCCTCGTGTGTTAATAAGCCCCTATCCAAAGCAGTTTGTACATCGATATCTTCACCAGTCTTTGGATCTCTTAAGAGAAATTTAAGGGTCTGGTAAGATGCATAATGCGTTGTTATTTTATCTGTACGAATTTGCTGAGTATTGATTACACCAATGTTAAACATAATTTTATCCCCTGTTTGCGGATCGGTTACAGTGTATGTTTGATTCGCTGATTTTGGAATTTCTTTTCTTATAATCTCGACGTCCTCTTTATTAATGAATCCTTGCTCTGCAGCTTCTTCTGGTAAATAAATTTTTCCCGATCTGGGATCGGTCAGAATAATTTTATTCATGTAAACGACATCCTTGTTATCGGACTTTTGCTCATTTGCAATGAAGGCCTGCGACATTGTTTTGGGATTCAGTATGTTATCGATCTCTACTTTCTCGACCGGTTTGCCGTTAACTGTAATTATACCAAACTTGGCAGCGTCTGTGAAGCTGATTCTCCTGCCAGATTTATCTTTGTAATAACCACTACTTTCCTCAATTATATTTTTACGCATTGCTTCGCTCATTGTTAATTCAATCCCGGTAGTTGGATGTTTAACTTTAACCGTTTTAGGATCGACGGTCTTATCCTTAACAGCTTCGAACAACGTTTTGGTTTTCCTCACTTCTGGTATAATTATAACTACGTCGGAAGGATCATAGATCACGCCGTTTTCTAACTGAATCGGCTTTAGATTCATGTGGGATATTTTAATTTCCGTATACGTGGGCGGATTTTTGTCGATAATATTGGAGACCTCAACACAATCAGGTTTTCCCGATTGTCGGGTCACTTTCAAGAGACGTTGGCTAGTTTTATGCAGAACAGCGTATTCCTTTAATATGATTAAGCTCCTAGCGATGGCCTCTTCCATCGTAATACGCTCGTTGTTAATAATATATCTACCCACACCATCCAATATCTTAGTTTCAACAGCTTTAGTAACGCTAATATGTTTTTTAGTTGATGGGTCGACTACTAACGCAGTAGATGGATTAATTATTTGCAAGCTTATGCATTCTTCAAAGCTTACTAAACGATCCGTTCCGGGTATTGTGAATAAGCCGGTAACTGGATCAAACATTTTCAAAGAGATCGCCTCGGACAACGACCAACCCTCTGACGGCAATTCGAAAACCTGCTTTTCCTTCGGTATGGTCGTATCAAACGTAGTTTCCTTCGAATTGTTGTCAATGTCTTGCTTGAGTTGTATCACCTTGATCGTCGTTTTCGAAGGTGTTGTGCCTTTCGGATAAGCGCCACTGCTCTTGGTAATCTGGATGCTAGTATTCTCCGCATCGGGAGTCAACTTTCCCTCACTTAGGGCCTTTACTATTGGAATTACTTTTTTGGAAACAGGATCGTAGAAGGTTTGGTTATCGTTATCAATAAGACCTTGTAGGATTGCTTCGGTATAGGAGATGGCATGGTGGACGCGAGTTTTGTTAAGAGTTTCGACTGCAACGTATCTCTTGATCTGTTTACTGGTTGTACGATTCGTCACGTTAACGCTGAGCATTGAATTCAGTAGTGCTGCTCCTTCCCCAGTGATCAATTTCTGCGCAATCGCGTCATTTAAAGGCACGACTTTTTTACTTTTACGAATATCAACTAAATAGCCGGTTTTAGGATCTATGTATCCTTTGAAAACGGCCTCCAAAATCGTGAGTTCCCTACCCTGTTCGAATATACCGATGGTTCGCGTCAGCATCTCATGCACGTTCGATTTTACTTCGCCAGTCGTAATACCGTCCGAGAAAGAGATTAATTTACCAGTTTTCGCGTTCGTAATCAGGCTACCGTTGTTCTTCGCGTTTATAAAGCCTCTAGCTAAGGCCGTGTTGAAACTCAGATACTCGGATGCATCCGGAGACCGAAAACATTCGATGTTGAAGATCGATTTTTGCGTCACGGAAATGATGTAGTCTTGTTTGACTGCATCCACGATATCCATCGTTTCGCCGTTCGTATTGTTAACGTAGACACCGTGAGGTAAGATAATGCCGATGGCCATGGCATCCTGCAGAGTCAAGTACTCGTCCTTGGCCACATTTAAAATTGATAGCATAGAATTAGAATCCAAAACGCCGCGACCGATGGCCTCGAGAATGCTCAACTTGATTTTATGCAACGGGGACCAAATTTTGCAATCGTTTTCCAAAATATTCAGATCATATGCATCTTTAAGAGTTAAAGGTTTTTGAATTAATTGCCTACGTTTGGCTTCTGCAAAGGTTAAGTGTTCGCGTTGGTACATGAATTTGCCAGATTTTACATTTATCACGCCTTTATCAATAGCTTCTAAAACCGTTATTTTATTATCGGTTTTGGAGTCCACGATTTCTTGTACATTCCCGTTCAAGAGATTCTTGCTTATCGCCACGTCCAATTTGCATTTTTCGCCAGAGTTACGATCGACAAATAAGCCAGTGATCTCTTCAATCAAACCGCGATTGATCGATTCAAAGAGACTGGTTGCCGAGGTTAGAATTCTGACAGAACTCTTCATCAAGAAACCGCGTTCGTAAGCTTGCTGCATAGTAATGACTTCACCAGAATCAAGCGTGAAATGTCCCGATTTCAAGTCCACTTTTCCGTCGCCAAGGATTTTTTGGAGGTGTTGGGGATCAGTTACCTTCACGCGCTTCTCTTGCGAAGCCTCAGATTCGTATATTCTTGCTACGAAAGATTTCCATTCAATTTGGTTGTTAAACAAGATTTGAAGTTTCTTAGATATACTAGGATCTATTAAACGACGTCGCTCCGCTTCCTCAATATTAACTCGTGTTCCATTTGGATCAGCTAACACCATTCCAGAGGTAGCATCCAGGAATCCGCGCAGCATAGCATCTCTGACCGTCATCCATTCGCCAGAATGTGGATTGACGATGCCGAGAGCATCAGGAAGGCCGTCATCATGCACTCGCTTCAAAGACGTCACCTCCATAAATTGCGTACTCTGCGAATCAGTCCCGGTGCTATCCTGTGTATAATGAGTGTGGGTGGTGTACGAGGTTTCTGGGGGGCATTCTTCGACACCCTCCCGAGTAATTTTGACGGTCGTGCCGTTCCCCCAATTCACCGACTCAGTTTGGACGTATCTGTTAAAAATGAAACGGGGATCACGCACATTCGAATATTTAGGTCACACGCAACAGAATTAATGATTAAACTGCTTAGAACAAAAGAATAGAACGAAAAGTGGTGACTTACTGCTTGCTGTATTGGGTTGTCGTTGTAAATGTAGAACTTTGCACAGCCGTATTTCTACTAGTATGGAACTCTGATCGGAATGTCTGATTCGGTTCTGGTTTCATTTCCTCCACCAGACGCTAAAATTACAAAAGTAGAACAATTAATTTAAAAGGACGTGAATGGAAAAAATATTTCTAATAGAAAATATACACAAAATTATTAGTTTTCGATAATTACAATTCAAAATAGTATTTGTTAATCTGACTTAATTTAGTATTTATTTATATCTTGCTGTAATATTTCAATTTCATTCTCGTTAATTTGTTTGATGTATATGAGCAACTTCTTATATTTAAGGTTTTCCGTTTAAACTACAAAACTAGATAATATTTAAGAAAAATTTAAAATATTTTTACTATATCATCAACTAATAAATAAAATAATTATATTGTAGAATGTTAATTAATTAAAAAATTAACATTAATGAATGAAAGTAGAGCAGCTTTTAGTTTCATCAAAATGGAATCGATTTCGTCTGTGACTTAACCTAGAGCAACGCCTTTTTGTTATCGATTTGCCTGAGAGGCAGAGGGCGGAGAGACAGGGAAAGCCCGTCCGTGAATAGGAAAAAAAAAACAAACAGATACATTCAGATAGAATGATACACCCGTCCAGATCAATGAGTCTATTCACATAGATTTGGGAAGCCAAATATATGTGCGACTCTTGAGACACGCAAAGGCCGAAGCAATTAATTAATCGTTACGCAATCCAAACTCTGTAACAGATATTAACGTAAACGAACGAATGTTCTATTTAATTTATTTCTTTCTTTCTTTATTTCAAAGTCGACTAATCGATGCAATTATATAAATTATATTAATTAAATATTAATGCTATACGCAGACGATAATCGATTATATAAATGGACATTACTTAAAATAAATTTATCAAAAAAAAAAAACAATAAAAAAATTGTTGTGACATTTTGTATTTTGTTCACGAATATTGTGATAAGATTGCGACTATTATAATATTGATTACGGTTGTAAATATTTTCGATTAATGTGACATAATGCAATTCATTTACGGTTATGAAAAGTAATAAGAGAAGAAAGAGCGTTGAATGTGAATTTAAAAAAAATGTAGGTTCGTGCGACCACCTGAAAAGACTATTCATCTCAGCAGGATTCTTTGATGATTTGAATGAAAATGAAACACGGCGCGGATGTTGTGTGTAGAGTCGCATTGTAATTGTATCTGCAGAACAAATCCTCTTATTCTGTGGCTGCAGCTGAAACCGGCAACCGGATTTTCGTGTCTCTGGTCGGATGAATTCGCAAAGAGACAATTGGTCCAAGAAGTGCTTGGATACAGTACACTTTTTTATAAAAACCTACTTTTTGTTCATCGTTTTTTCTATAGAATGCATGTGAATTGTTTCATACAATAAAGTTTATAAAATGAAGTAAAAGATATTTCTAGTTAGGCTATCAACCGCAAAATCATTCAGTTTTATATATTGTATAGGAAACGTTCCACAAAATTACTTCGTTGGGCAAAACTTTGTACACTTTGTTTCGTCAAGAAACATGTACAATAAAACATTAGCAAATCGCATCTGTATAAAATAAGTGGAGTTGGCAATGTTTTCTGATCACCCATCCATGTACATTGCTTAACTTTATGAATTGTCATGTTGCATTTTATTCATAATACAGTAAACCCTCGAACTTAGAAAATAATCTACGATTCGAAAGTCAAATTTTTCTATAGGAAATGTAAATTGAAAATCCTATAAGTAAATAATCTCAAATTTTAGTGTTTTGTTTGACTTTTGAGTTTTTATTTGAGTTTGAATATCAGTTTTTCCTTTTAGTTTTTAAACTTATTACTAATTTGACTGTATTTTTAAACGAATTTGCATAAAGTAAATCGTGTTTTCAAGGTGTGTTTTAATTAGAACTCCAGATTCCCTATAACATTAACTCTAGAAATTAGATAATTGAGCAATAATGTTGTTAATTACAGCTCTCGAAGGTTTCCCTAGCACTCGGCGGATTCGCAATGCGTAACAAGACAACAACAAAAAAAAAACAATTAATTTGTGGTAAACCAATTACGCTTAATGACCACGAAGAAAAAGAGAAAAAATACAGTAAAGAAGATAAATAATGGGCAAATGCTAAAATTACGAATGACTTCATTTTATCGATTCACAGCTAAAGTTCACGTAACCAATGACAAATTTATCAAGCCACTTGAGTCAACCTCCGCATACTAAAAACATCCTTTTATTTTGATTTCATGCACACATCGGTATTTCGCTTTTATTATTTTCAAAAAAAAAACAAACAGTCGCAATGCTTATCCCAATAAATCGATAGTGAAAATAGGTTGGCTTAACAATTTGAAGCAAATCAACATAGTGCAATTAATTATGAAATGCTCGTTGCATTCATAATTAAACATGAGCACGAAACACTTGCTTTCTGTAGGATTTATTGAGCGTGACCATATGGTTCGGTTGAAGCAGTTTTAAAAATCTATTTTTACGGTGCGCTTTAAAAATAGTGAAGCCAAAGTGCGAACGTAGAGCGTGGATGAAGATGGAAAAAAATGTCTACTTGTGTATGTATAAATTCATATAAATATATTTTGAAGTATCGATCGGCACGAAAATGAAACGCCCGAGAAAATAGCCTAGACTAGAAGTTCCACTACTATTTATAGAAACATTGCGACAAATAATAAGCGAAACCTCTTTGTTATTGTATTTACTGAATGCAAAGTCTGGTAGTAACGCTCGTAGCAAGGTTAATCGTGCCATTAGCAACTGTAAAGTGTCTATGCAAATTTCGGCGTTTATTGCTGTATTATGTAAATTATTGGAATAAACAATATTTTCGCGCCGGCATTGACATAATTTCTTAAAATATTAATTTGTTTATTACTATTGCATTTCATGGCGCAATAGCAATGCGCCATGAAATCCATGAGTTTAAATTTAATCTTAAATGATAATATTTGCATTGTTCTAATCTTGATACAATTATATTTTTATCATACAACAAATAAATAAAAAGTTACGCAATGACATTTGTTAGTCGTTGTATACGATTGACCTGTCATAAACATTCATTTTTCCTCAGACTGGGTTGAAAATATAATAAAATAATTTTACATTGTTACATTTAATATTGTTACACAGCAATATCACTCTTGTTTCGGCTTCTGATCAGTCCGGATTCACTGTACAGTGGAACGTCGCTTAACGAGCAAAATAAATTGTAAGAAAAATGACTCGCTAAATGGAACACATTATCATATTTTACATTAGTTTATATCGGGAAACTGTTTCAATATACGAGTAATAATCACAAAATAAAAATAAATTCCAAAAAAATGTTACTCAATTATTTTTTTTATACATAAGTTATCGGTTTTATGTTCCTCGATTAGTCCGGTTCCAAACAGTGCGGCATATTAATAAACCATAAATTGAAGCTCGTTAATTATTAACAATAATTGAAATATGGAAAAAAACATCTATTACATTTAATACCAAATACCTTAAACATAATATCAATAATACGTATTGATCTCACCTAGAATAAAGTCAATCTTTTTGTGGTACAAGTAATGACATCAAAGTTAAATCTAAATATGTCATGTGACTAAATTTCCAAGAATCTATGTCATTATGCCAAACGTATATCTACGCTCCCAATACTATTTTTACGCATCAATTCGATTTTAATTTACGTTTTATTAAATGTGCATCAATCCTCTCAACATTATTATTTTACATCAAATTTCCACTTTTCAAAATAAATCTTATTATTGCATTAAATAATAACAAATATATACAAAATTTAACTGTAAAACTCTCTAAAATGTTACAACTTCTATAGTTAAAATTCAATATTGTCTTCACATTTGATAATAACAAATTAAAAATAAATATAACTGTCACACTCTCGAAATGTCCATGTTTTAAATAAAAATATTTATACAAATTTACATAGATAATTGTTTTATAAGTCAATTTAACTATTATATTTATAATATATTATCTGTAATAAACTAATTAAATTGTTTACTTTAACTAGTCATAACTATAATTATAACACTTTACTTTAATTGCTCATATTTGATTAGAAACAATCAAATAAGTCTTTTTTCAAAATTAAGTACTACTTGTGACTTATTTTAAAGTTGGTCTAAACGAGGTCTTTTTTAAATTTTCTTTCAATAAATAAATAAAAATATAAAATATAATAAATATTCCTATATTTTTTTTGGTAAATATGATCATAAATTTAAATTAATAAAGGACTTAACTATTTGTCTGTTTAGTTTAGTCATTTCTCAAATTAAAATACAATAAAACAATAAAACAATAACGTAACTTGTTTATGTTTAGAAAGTTTATCAACTTTAAAATAAATATTGCAATTAGTTCATAACCAAATTTATACATACACAGTTTGAACTTTTTACTATAATCAAATACAATTAATAAATTTCAAATAAACAATTTTAGAACAATTTTGTATACTAAAATTCGTTAAATTGAGACTGTTGCATTCACTAATCATTGCGACTACTTAATTATGAAAACCGCTTAACCGCACTGACCGACATTAAAGCTTAATTAAATCAAGGCTGTTTTCATTTTGATGTCAAGATTTTACTATTCCAAGCAACAATAAACCGTCAATTTAATTTTTGCCCTCGCGTCAAACAAGTTTAAGTGGATGAGATCATCCCAAATTTTATTTAATCATGTTCGAAACATATATTTTTATTTTATCGATGCAAATGTGATATCGCACTTAATCCGCATACTTCGATAAGACTTGCATTAAAATATATCCGATACAATATCTACGTATATTGATACATCTATACAGTTGTTTATCGCTGAATGTCAGCAATTCAAAATTATTTTTATTATAGCAAGAAAAAAAAAATATAAAATTCACATCAAATCATATGAGTAATTCTCGCAATTCCATGTAATTGAACATAGCTATATAAACAAAAAAAGTATAAACGTCTGTGAAATAAAATATTACTGGAAATTTACACAGAGATTTATACATTTATACAGAGATTTTGTCACGTTTGTCTATACCATTAATATCAAGCACAATATTAAAAAAAGTTGATATCAAATAAAATGACATCATTTGGTTATAAAATAGAAAAAAATAATTAATATTCCAATATTCAAATGTCATCATACATCACACAATTCAAATACGAATATATTATAATATTCAGAAAATTAATCACAGATTTCCTTGATTAATTAATAAACATGTTATTGTGAACTTTTATGTAACAATTACAGCAATTACAGGTTGAAAATAAAGTTAGATCTTTAATTATATAAGAAATTAGCATATCTAATGTGAAATTAATTGATTAATTTTATGCTCCTATTTCAGTTTCAATTTAGAAATTAATATGTATGTATGTAATGTAATTTATTTAATTATATAATACTTTATTATGCATTGCTCGAACTGCTATTAATATTGCAAATAGTTTATAAGTACAGTAGTTTCATTAAAGTTGTAAATAAAATCATTGCTAAACACGGACTGTGACTTAACACAAAAATAATGTGTTAAAATTAGAAACACATTTGTTGAAACAAATTTGTGTATTCTTAATAATAATATTTACAACAATTTTCGTACATCCAAAATAATACAAGGTTGTTGTTTTTTGTCCTTACTAAAAGAAATCCAAAATAAAAATGTTCATTTTCATTATTGTTTCTTCAGTTTTCGTGAAATATGTTTATTTCCAGGCCATTATTGCATTAAAACATAAATATTTACGTTCGCAGTTACGATTGTGTACAAAAGGAATTAGATTAGAGTAACGAAAAAAAATCAATAAAAAGGGGTCTTACCCATGGTATATTTCCCAATTCGTGGCTAAAGTCGTATTGACTGTTGGTGTTATGATCGAAATCTAGTTTTTCCTTATCCATGTTCGTGTTTCCTTTGGTGAAGATCAATTCACACACTAAGTTTACGCGAAACGCACATGTATAAATTTAAAGGACTTAACTTCACCGCAGCTCGTAGGAACAATAATTAAATAATTTCGAAAAAAAAAGCAATTATAGGGTAAAATTAAAACAGGAACGTAATGAACTTAAAATAAAAATGAAAATTGAAAAAAAAACTACACTATGTTTTCGGTTTATTGATGAGACGAGCAGATTTCGTTCGAGCACGATCTATACTCCACCGTGCCTTTCGTTTAACTAAAGATACTAGTGTACAGTATGTCAGTCACGTGGAATAAGGCTGCGCGCTCATCTGATAATCAAGCTCTGTTATAATGATTCTATTTGAATTCTATATGTTTGCACATTATGTTTGTACATTAAACAACAACATTTATTTTCAATATAGAAGCATACGTGCTAACAAATTATATATCTGCAAGCTGTAAGCTTTAATACTCTTCCAAAACACAACGTTATAACACATTTATAATCAAGTTAATATCCTAATACTTGCATTAACTCAATTCTTAATAATTGTATTTATTGTGTCAGTTAAATATACATAAATAAAAAATAAATAGAATGTATTTATATAATCATAACTAAATTTTTAAAAAAGTGATAAAGATACAAATTATTGTTTATGAAATATTCACATTATAAACATTAATTCAATTAATTATTTAAAAATAAATATAATTACATATTTATTATTTACAATTTGAAACTTTAATTTCATTGATAATACTATATAATATTCTATTATTTCAATTTTATTTAGTGAATAACTGATATAGAAACAGAATTTCTCTCAAATTTGTGTTAATATAAAAATCTATAGTAAATAATTTAATTAATTATGATTCTTTAATTTTTCATATTGATCTATTATTTTTTTTATATATCACAGATGCTCTAATTTCTTGGAAATTTAATTTATCCTTTACATTCACTTTGCTTTTTATAAACAAAAATATTCATTATATTGTCAATTTTGTTATAAATCATCCATTGACAATTTTTCATGATCAGTGCGCAATTGAATCACTACGGTAGATTCAATGTCTTACATCGCTTCAGTTGTTGTCAAGAAGATGGATAGGTATCACGTTTGTTTGTCTTTCGAACCTATTTTGGTATCTGCTACTACTTTTCACAATAGATTCCTCTACTGTTTCCATTTGTATTCTCCAGTTTGAGTTGTATTAAGGACCAATATTGATCTTTCTTCTACTTTTCGACTAGAATTTCTGTATAATTGCAATATCCTACATAGGTGTTTCTCAAGCTATGAATAGAAATGGCTCCTAATCACGTCAAAGCAATGCACTATTGAAATACTCTTAGTAACCACAGACTAAAGGGAAAAAAAAAAGGGTTGAGAAACGGTGTTCTACAAAACCTGCTGCTGGTTATACATAACTGTATTTTCTAGATCCAAGTAGGTTTTGAAATTTCCTCATTACATCTGAAACTTATTATTGAAAATTTACTTTCTCAAATATTTAAGTTTGTCATTTTTTTTAGGGCAAAAGTCTTTTTTCATACAGATATTCTTGATTTAAGTCCAGATAAAAATAACAATTATATTATTTTTATGAAAACTTATTTAACTATTACTATAAAATCAAATATTTGAAACAAAATCAGCACATCATTATATTTAAGCAACAATTAATAGTGCCAATATTATTTAGATCATTTCTTTAAATCGTTCTATTTATCAGCTATTTTACTAGTCTATTTGTGACTAAAAAATTGCGTATTATAATACTTTTTATACTATATATAAGGGCACATACCTAATAGAAATTGATTTAACAGATTTTAAGGATGCTTTTACACAGTGTGTGACGTGAGACATTATTATATATCAGGTGTACCAACTAATAATGCTTATCATTAAGTCTGAACTGTCATCTGTACATTGAAGTTGGTATTCATGTCTCATGACACGCACCTTGTCTTTGCTTGAATGTCGACCATTTTTTTTTGCAACAAATCAATCCACTTTTTATTATAATTGAATAACTATAAATTATTGCATACATCTGTAACTAAATAATCGTTTATATAAAGTCCGTCCCTTGTAAATAATATATTTATTGTCTTTATTTTAGGTTTAGTCATCATATGATGTGAACAAATAGCGATCCAAAACGTGTTATATACCCACACCTATTTATTTTTCCAATCGTAGTTCTGCCTTTGAATCACCCACATCCTTACCTTTGACTTCTTACAATCCACACTGCTTGCATCATACGTGCAATTCGAAGTTCTTGTATATTACCAATAACAGTAGAAAATCGTTAAAATATGTTTGGAAACAAATTACATAACAATATTTGTTCCAATAATTACGTTTATAGATACAATGACCCTACTTTTTTTTATTTAACTTATTTTATTAATAGCTTTATTTGTAAGTAAGTTGATGAAAGTATCACTACTAAACTCATCGATGTAAAAATAATTTTAAACTGTTGAACGTGAAGTTATTAAATTTACCATATATTTATTATTACTATATTCATACATAAACTAAAATATAGTTGGTCGGTGAAAGGATATTTCATATAAACTTGTTATGAATAGAACAAGCATCTAAATATTACAACATTTTTTTGACACCTCATAAATCACAATCTCTTCTGTCAGCCAGCAACATTTAAATACTAATTCAGGAAATATTTAATATAATTATGTATTAAGGAAGTAAATACAAATAAACAGAACCAAAGGACTATTTTTTTAGAAAGTATATTTATTTTGATGAATCAAAATTTAGATACTATAGTGAATATTGACTGATCGAAACCGCACAATTCGAGGTATTATTGTTAATTTACACACAAAGTAATGTAATACCAATAGAAAAAAAATAAATAATTGAATACAAATCCTAAACGAAATAGCAAATAGGAGCAAACATATCATTAATTATTAATATTACAAAAATATTATACAGTGCAATCTCGCTTAACGAGCTCCTCGCATAACCAGCATTTTGCTTAACGAGCAAAATAAATTGTAAGAAAAATGACTCGAAAATGGAACGCATTATCGTATATTACATTAGTTTATATGGGAAAAATTGTTTTACTATACCAGTAAAAATCCGGAAATTTTGGAACAAGTTATGCTCGTTTAGCGAGGTTCCACTGTGTATAATATGTTAAATTAAATCTTTCTGCCTTTAATATAATAAATTCTTTAAGATTTAACATTGATTTTATAATAAAAAAATACTACAGAAATACTGATTGAACTTATATATATTATAAATAATTCCTTGAATAAAAAATGCGTTTTGCTAACATTTAAAGTCGTAAAAATGCAAATTGTTAAGAATTCCGAGAACTGCACAATGATGTAATATAGAGTAGCTATTTTAAACGTATTGACTATACTAAAAACATTACGTGTATTTCCTTGCGAATGCTTTCTATGAATGCTTCTATTTTTTCCTGATAAAAAAATCTTATATTTGTGAGTGCATTGAATAACACACTTAGTTGATTTGTAATAATATTGAGCAATAAGTAATATTGATTTATAGAATTGATGCTTCATAAAATTCAAAGAAATATATGTGAAAATTAGATAGAATTTCAAGTAAATAATTATCACAAATTTTGAGAAAATTATTAAGAAAACCAAAATGATAAATTTTGGATTAAAATCAAATTAAGGAGTACAATGTTCGAAAAATATATATTAAATCGTATAGCTCTTAGCGGAAATGCTTTTTATTCCAAATATAAACTCTTATTAAGATTACATTAAAATGTATGTATTTTTTTATACATATCGAATTGGCTTGAATCTCAACCTTGACACGGTTTTTGGAAGAATTAATACGTATTTATTTTTTGTTTCATACCGGAAAGAATTCCGAGTTGACCAAGCGCTTCTTCCACCTGCCAACAAAATATTACAAAAGAAAAAAGTAAATATAGACGGTGCGCAAAATATAACACACACAACAGCAGACACTCGACAAAAAAATATATATGCGCGCGTATTTTTAATGGTGATCCAAAACATTCGTTGCATAATCGCTGTGTAATTGTTCGTTTTTGTTTTACGACGCCGCCCTCGTGTTGGATACTTTTCTTTGTTACTGAATTTTGAAGATGGCTTTTAGATATGATGACGATTACGTAAGTGGGCCAACATGCGTCGAACCTTGAGCACGTCTTGTCCAAAACGCCGACCAGAGGCAAACGCAAATAAAACGTTTGACCCGGGTTTAAGCGTTTTATTATATAATTGCATAATGGGCTACATCTATTTGAAATTGAGTCTGCAATCATCTTCACTTATCAACTTATATAGGGAAATAAAAAAAAGAAAACATAAATACAGCTCGTACTAAAAATAAGTATGCCGTAAGATGTTTGATGTTAACACAACAATATTTAGAGCGTTTAGCATATATTAATTATAGTAATATATACTTAAATTATACAGTAAGGGCTCAGTTAACGTACAAAATATGATTACAAATTGCTGTACAATAAGCGAATGTACGCTAATCGGGCAATGCGTTAATTTACAATTTTTGGTACACTTTGTTCGTACTAACGTACTCGATGTTCGCAACAACGTACATTTTACTGCCGGAACATTAAATTTTATGCAATAATTTAAATAATTAAATATCTTAAAATTATTAAAAAAAAATGGATAACGTCTCAAGTTTGAAAAGAAATTACACTACTATAGCAATAATTTGTACAGTTCGTGTTCACTTACCGTACAAAATGCGTTTAAAAATTGCCACACCTAAGCGAATACACTCTGTTAATTTCAATTGACAGTCTGTTCGCGTTAGTGTACACAACGTTCATACTTACGTATTCAATGTTCGTATTAACATACACTTTATCGTTGGAAATATGAAAATAATTGAATTTCTAATGTAACACAATATGAATACTCGTGTAAAATTCGGAGTGACGGAGTGACTGATTAAATTGTACGTTCGTACGGATAAAATGTTATTTTCTATCTTTAAATGCGTTTGTTTTGACTGCTAAACAATACTATGCAAAAAGATAATATTTAGATTACTTATTGTGTCAATGAATGAAATTAATTATTTACATAAGAAAAAAAAAACATTAAATATTATCTTCATAAATAAGTACGTGTAAATAACGTTTATTGCACTACAATTTAAATACTATTATTATTATTGACATTGTAGTAGGGTTTGTCGGTTTTTATA